GTCTCCATGCTAAAAACTTCAAAAATCTATTTTTCACATTGTGACAAACTAACTATTATTCTACTTAAACTTTCTTGACTTGTAATTCTTCATATAAAGTTTGGTAATTGTTTTTTCTAAGGGCTAAATCACAGGCACAGGGGTCTTGGGCTCTGTGCTACGGTCTCTGAGCCCCCGGCAGGGTTTTGAGTCTTCTAGGGCAGCCAGAGGAATTTCTTGGGTTCTGACATGTATCTAGATGGTACACAGCCTTTTTTTTCCTGCAGGCTATTTTCCTTTTTGCTTAACTCTGTCCAAGGTTACACTTTCAGTGTTCACCTCAAATCTCTACAGTTTTGTCTTTTTTATCTCTACATCACTGATATTTTATCTTGCTTCTCTTACCATATATCTGCCTTTTCAATTCTTGTTCAAAAAATCAACATGGAAGAAGAAAAGCTAAAAAAACTCCTCCATCTTAGATCATCATTCTCTCGGGAGTGAGGTGTACCTGTGAGAAGTCTGTTACTGTTTCAGACTCTCTCACTCCATTGGGAAATTAACTGTTCATTCTTACAACTATTTTAAGTGAAGGATGTGTCATAGTATTATGGCATGTAGAAGGTAAAGTCTAAATCTATATATTTTGCCTAAGAATGCCACAGTGAAAATATACAACTCTGTGCCCGTTTGTAAGCATTTGTAAATCAGTAATCCAACAATCTGTAGTCTCTTATTCTTTGAACTTCAAGTAAATCTTACAAGTGATTCTGTGTGGAGAAGTTTTACCTTTCACAAATTATTCTAAGTTCCTGAGCACTTGGTTTTCCAACAATTGCATATCAGATTTGCTCAGTCTAAATATAAAAATGAAGGATAGCATTTCTTCACAGAACTGTGATCTGAAATTTAATATCCTGGCTCAAATCAAGGAGTCTGTGATGCACTTACAGTGCAAAGGTTCTCATTTTGTTTGTTCCTTCTCAGGCTGAGGCTCAGTGAATCAGATTTAATTAGCTGTTCCATGGATGATATGTGAGTTGGAAAGACCCACTTCATTCTCCTGGAGATTAATTTATTTTGAGCACACCAGCTACAGATTACCTGAGACTTTCAGAAAAGTTGTGCACTGTCCCAAACAAACCTCTCTGTGGGTGACTGCTCTGTGTCAAGGTGTGCTGTGCCTGTCCTTGCCTGGATTTTTTTATGCCCACTAATGTAGAAACTGAGAAAGTCCTCAGCAGCCTGGTTTTCAAAGAGAGCACAGTAGCTCTGAAAATCCAGCCTCTCAAAAATTGAAATACCCAAAATGATTGGCTACTTGCATATGGTGACTGCAGTCTTTGAGTCATGCGATCAAAATCATGACACTGCAGAAAGAGAAGTCTGGTAAAAACTTTATATTCATCACATACTTAGAATATTTTCATTACTCTCCAGGCAGACTTCTAGATGTGGCACATGAAAATGTGGAGAGGCCACCTATTCTGTCAAGTTCTGTCATGAGGGAGCTGTGATTTTTTTTTTTCTTACTAGAATCTCAATATTTCCACTATCAGATTACCTTTTCCTCTACAAATTCCATAGACCACAAAGTCTTTCCTCTTCCAAGTAAGTGAGCTAAAAATGTTTGTGTTCATATTGCCAATCTTACAAAACAACATTAAAAATTACACCAACGTAATTTTCAAGAAAAAGATGTCTGCCTGTATGTTTTAAACTATTAAGTGCTGAAAATAGGAATTGTTCAGAGACTGAACAGGCTGGACTGGACCTTCTAAATGTCACCCACAGGTACAACAGTGAGCATGTTTAAAACTCCACTATTTCCTGTTATATTTGAGTGCTGAAAGGGCACAATGCCTTGTAAAGAATATCAGTTGGTCTGATGGGATGCAATGGTCTGCTGCAGCCCCTAACACAGTGGCCACTGTAACAGGTCTGTGACTTTTTCATTTCACAGTGCACAGTCTCACTTTCACTGAGGATAACTAGGAATTTGCAATTGCCCCTGAATGGTTCTCTATGCCTACATCTCAGGAAAGAGATGAAGGGGAACTGAGCAACTGTAAGGAGATGGGATACAACCAAGACAACTAATTAAAAGAGCAAATGCATGCAGAGGAAGATTCTTGTGCTGTAGTCAACAGTACTGCTGATTCCAGAAACTTGGATGAAAATCTTTATCACAGGAATCATTTCATTAGGGAGCAGGATGGAAGTGATCTCTGTGCTGGGGCTGCCAGGCAACTAAATGGGGTTGAAAAAAGAGCCCACCCAAGAAATGAGCCCCAGAAAACAATGCAAAATCTGATACTGAGTTTGGAAGGCTTGGGCTTAGTTCCTTACAAGTGGCTTCAGCTTCTCCAGTAAGAAGGAATCCAACTGCAAAATGCAGCCATGGCAGTACCAAGGTCCATGGCCTGATGCAACCACTGAGATCCTGTCCATTTACTCCAAGATTTACTCCAAGACACTTTGTTTTATGGTGTCCTTTATAAAAACATTGCACCCTAACAAGAAATGCTGTACAAAGGAGTATTGCACAGGAAGTTATATATACTTTATTTTATCTATCATGCAAAATGGAAATAAATCTCTTTTAGGCCTTCTCAGAATAGAGAACATTGGAAAGTTACTTAAATTACTTTATCTAACTGTGTCTGCTCTACAAACAGTGGAGCCCTTGCTGTTGCTGTTACAACTCCATCTCATGTTTTTATTTTTATTACAAGAAGAAACAAATATGTGCTTAAAGTGAGATCTACTGCTACATTTTCAGCGGTGACTGAGTTTAATGTTGTCACAAGTCCAGGCTGAGCAGCCAAATGAATCACATGGCTATACAAAAAATGAGGAAGCTTTTTAACTCAGCTGTGTGGGATCAAGACTAACGAAATACAAAAATCAAGACAGGATTGCTGAAAGCAGCTGCACCAAGAACCAGAGCTCACTTACCTTCACAGATCAAAATAAAGTAGGGAAAGGGAAAACTAAGCCTAAATTGAAACTGCTAGAGATTTGCATGCACAAAATTGAAAAATTTGAAGGAAAGGAGGTTTTTCTTTTTTAAATGGTACCTCTCTTGGGACTCCTTTTAAAACTAATTGATATTTAGAAGATTGATTATCCAAATGTCATAGGGGACAGCAGCTCTGTCTGAGTAACTGAGTGAATTTGCATCACAATTAGGTGTTGGGAAGCAGTGCTTTTGCAAAGTATTTTATTGAGGTTTAAGTGATCCAAGATGACTTGTAATGACCATAGATTTTTGTATTTTCATGCCTCACTCTTTTCTTTCCTAACTACATACCAGATGAAGGAAAATTCCAGCCTATAAAGGAAAAAAATTTTCCAGTCTTTGTTGTCTCATAGACATAAAGCAAATTAAAAGAACCTATTACATTTCTGTAAGTACATCATTTCAAGCCAGCTTTGGATTTTGGGGGCCAGCTGCATGAGTTATAAAGTTCATAGCAGTTAATTAGCCATGTCTCCCTCCTTTGCCTTACTGTGCTTTAAAAAGTCAGACAAACAGCTCCGTTTCCCAGGGTAGGTTAGTTCCCTCCCTTGTCTGATACTCACTTACTACTTAAGCCCCTAGTTTGGCTTTTTATTCATCATTTTTGTTTATTTCTGCACTTGCTGCTGCGTTTGAAGGTCATCTACATCCCTTCCTAACACTCTCCTGTTTCAACCCTTCTCTTTGCTTTCTGTGGGCTTCAGTCTTCCTCTGCATGGCAGTCAAATTAGAGCCATACAGTTCTCTGTGAGGAGAAGGCAGACAAAACACAGAAAGCCCATATTGCTGTGGTGACCACAGTAACCTCTGGGGCTGTGGAACAATGTTCTGAAACTCTGTTTAAGATGTGGCCTGTGGTTACACCAGTACATGGCCTGAGCTGGTCTGGCCTATTTTTGCTCTTATTAATTGTTATTAGTATGGCCTAATTTTGCTTTAATATTATTATTATTAGTAGTAGTAGTATTTATTTATTTATTTTGATCACTCTGTCAGGGCAGCAGTCATAATGGACTGGCTCACGTATGCTCTGCTGCCCTCCAAAGGATGGGAATGCTGCACTACTGTTCCTTCACCTTATTGAGATGCTTCCAGCCACAGCTGAGTGCAAGGGTGTTTTTTTTTTTTGTTTTTTTTTTTTTTAATATATTCTGTGTGTGGCAAAGAGTCTGGAAACAGAATACCTGTGATAGACTTGAAAAGACACCCTTGTCAGGTATTTCCTAAGCCATCACCAAGAATGCTACCCATTGAATACTGCCATGGTTTGCTATCTGGCTATTCTGCCCATCAAGTCCCTGTGCATTAGTATGATTTTATTCATGAATAAAGCCGCCATCCCTGGAAGTGTTCAAGGAAAGCCTGAAAAGTCTCTTGATGCCAAGATCCAGTTGGCATGGTGGTGTTCGATGTTGGACCTGCTGATCTCAGAGGTTTTTTTCAACTTAATGGATTCAGTGATTCTCTGACCTGTGTGCAGAGGAGAAAAAACAGAATGAAACCCCACTTCAGCTCTTAGGTCACCAAAGGAAACACGGCTGGCAATGAACAAGTGTCAGCGCCCAGCGGAGCATGAGCGGCCGTGAGGCGCCTCGCAGTCAGAGCACTCAGTAAATTGCCCTCCATGCTGGCGGGAGGCCTCAGGACCCCTTGCAAAAGGAAAAAAAAGGAGAAGAGAGCGGCGGCCGAAGGGCAGCACCGCGGAGGGGAAGCGCCCAGATCCGGCGGGGAGGAGCCGCGCTCTGAGGGGCCGCGGGCACGGGGGCACCCGGGGGCGCCCCCAAGGGCGCAGCCCGCGGGCGGGGCCGCGGCCGTTGCGCTCCGCGCAGCCAGGCAGTCACATGAGCCGCCGCCCTCCTTCCCCGGCACCCCTCGGCCGCGAATGGCACGGCCCGGATGCGCTTGTACGCAAGGAGGGTGCGGGCGAACCATTGAGCGGGGGCGGGGGAACCCGGCAGCCGCCGGCCGGGAACACCCCTTCGCCGGGGCGCTGCGGCGGCGGGGAGCGGACGTGACAGCGGCGCGGCCGGCGGCGGAGCGCGATGGGGGTCCCGCGGGGACAGGAGCGCCAGGCCCCGCAGGAGGTACCGGAGCCGCGTCTCTCCCAGCCCCCCGTCCCCCGGGCGCTGCCGAGGCCCCGCTGCACCGGCGTCCCTGGGATCGCCGCCCGCTCCTGCCCCGGTTCCCGGCCCTCGCCGGCAGCGCAGGGGTCGGTGCCGCTCAGCGCGCTGGGCGCGGGGGACGCGGGGAGGCCTGCGGGGCTGCCGGCAGCGCTGTGCGGTCACCTTCGGTGCTCCATCGCCTCCCGTGTGCCCGCTGCAAGCCCGGCTGGCCGGGTTCCCGTGGCAGGCAGCGGGGAGGAGGAGGAGGGTGCCCAGAGGGGTGGAGGCGGGCAGGGTGTGCAGGTGGGGCCGTGCAGCCCTCGGCACACCGGAGCCCTGTGAGCGGCTCTCCGGCCTAGGGCCGAGCTGCTGGGGAGCGCTCTGCCTCTGGGAAATCGCGTGTATCCCCGGAGCTGGGGGGTTCCGTCCTCTAAGCGGGGGACAAAAGCCCTGGGACGGGCTGGCTGTGCTGGTGAGGCTTCGGAGCACCGGGGCTGTCCGGGCTGCCCGTCACAGTTCACCTTTGTTACTGCCGTGCTCTGAAATTGCATTGCCCAAAAAGTGGAATTCCGTGTGAGCGTCTCCTCCTGGTTTTGTAGAAGGATTAGAGAAGCGTGTCCTGGTTTCGGCTGGGACAGAGGTTAAATTGAGGTGTGTGAGTTTATGAAGCCTGAAATTGAAAGAAATGTTTGAAATGGAGAATAAGTTAACTGGCTTATGGCAATAGGACAATCTTAGTAGCTAGGGGCAAGCAGTGGACCAGGAGTTTGAACAGCAAAAGCAGATTAAAGTATTTAACTGGGTGAAAATATTTCTAAATGGACTTAACATCACATGTGCTACCTGTTTCTTTAATGTCTTTCAAATTAACAACCAGGTTGCTAATGGAAGGCAGGTTTCTCCTGGTACGTGGTCTGTGCCAAGGCTCGGAAAATGCTCACTCCTCAAATGAATGAGAAAAACTGAATTAGTGTTTTGCTGTTTGTTTGTCAGGTGGAAACAAGAGAAGATGAGGAACAAAACATCAAGTTGACTGAAATCTTGGAACTGTTGGTGGCTGCTGGGTATTTTCGAGCAAGAATCAAGGGGTTATCACCCTTTGACAAGGTGAGGCCATTACAATATTTTAAACCCCTCTTTCAAGTATAAGAGGCTTATATGTTTTGCTGGTTTGCTTAGCAATTCTCTATAAGACAGTTGCAATTTATGAGGCTTCTCTGTGTGAATAATTCTGCAAATGACCTAGTTTCAGACAGACAGGACCTCCTCAGTCTTGAAAGACAATTTTGTGCAGCAAGGCCTGTTTTAAAGGTGAAAATTGGATGCAAACTTACTGCTGTCTGCTTTTTTTGGGTGCTGTGGTCTATGCTAGAGTTGTGTGCAGGGAATTTTCCTCTCTCTCCCAGCAGCAGCTGGAATAGCTAGGCTTTGGATATAGCATGGTAATTATTAATACAGCATTGATGAGAAATGAGGAAGTGTCTGTGTAAGAAAGGAACAGTTAGCCTGGTGAGATTATTTTTGGGCTGTTTTTACATATCTTTAGAATGTCATATTTGTTAACCTTTCATTGTTGTAGACAGGAAATGTGTGATGCTGACAGTGAGCAAAGTTCAGGTTGAAGAGAGATTTCTGAATTGCTTTAATGCTGACACTGTGAGAAATTCCTGAACCAAGGTTTGAAAACACAGAACTACAGCAGCCTTGAAATGGATTCTTCTGTTTTCTGCTCTCTCTTTGATCATAGCACAGCCTCACTTTGCAATGCAATTTTATTTTATTCAAACTCCTTGGTATTGCTAAGAGTCGCTGCTCAGGAGACAGAGAAATTTCAAGGAGACTGCTTTGGATGTAGCATTATTGCATTTGTGTGTAGAAATCACTTACAGGTACTTAAATACAATTGCAAAGTTACCATTCCATTGCAGTGCCCAACCTCACCAAAATGAGCCTTGCTACTGAAAATGATCACACTGCTAATGCAAAAGGGATATGTGGGTTATCATAGAGGGGAGTGTGAGAGGGGGAATATGGCAGAAACCTTGTTAGAAACCAAGGTTCCTAATTTGCTGTGTGATAATGGCAAGTTATTCCATATTTTAAATCCCTTTTTCTCTTCTTTGCCTTTGCACACATTTAGGTTATTTTACACATGTTTATGCAAGGTTGTCTTTAAATATTTATGTAAAGTTGATGAAATGGCTCAGGAGTTTAAATATGCCCATGTCAGAATAGGGCCTGAAATAGAGATTTCTGCAGAGCTGGGGATTTCCTGTGTGCTGATGCTGTGTCTAGCACTTTGTGTTGCCTGTGTCAGCAAGCAAGAAATAATAGTAGCAAAGATGTATATAAAAAGGTAAATATAAGACTGCAGTAATGATGATCCTTAATAAAACTTTGATATGGTCACTTTTTAGATGTCATGACATTTAACATATTGTTGTGTTTTATCCTTTTGGTTGGTTGGTTTACTTTTTTCAATCTGAGAGCTGTTTCGAAACTAATATATAAAGCTAAGAGAGGAATTGAGGTTGTCAGTAACTGCTGGGTTGGTTTTTGTCTTCTTGTACACATATGTTGTGTACAGTATTGTATGAAGTTGGTATGTTTGTGTTATCTGAGTCTGTCTCAGCAGAGAGAATACTGAGGGTGGTGAGATTACTGAGATGCAGTTTCTAAAATAAATAAAGCCTGGAAATGTATTTGTGTTTACCTGTTCAGTTTAGAATGGCCCTGACCATGCTGTTGCTCCTTTGCCAGGTGGTGGGAGGCATGACCTGGTGTATCACTACCTGCAGCTTTGATATCGACGTGGATCTGTTATTTCAGGAAAACTCTACTATTGGTCAAAAAATGTAAGTTGATTAAATGGCAAGTGGGGAATCTTTCTTCTTTTTCTTAGAAAATAAAACCTGAGTGGGGAGGGGGAAGTTACCTGCTGTGTTTCTAAGAGTTTTAGTTCCAATTTCCTGCTTTTGAGGACTGCCTGTTTACAAAAGGCACAGGTTTCTGGGTTTCTCAGACTGTAGTTCCACAAATTCTAAATCCAGAAAGAAGCTTATTTCAAAAAAGGCAGGGCTGTTCCATTTGGGCTGCCATGCTCTTATATCCCTACTAAGCACTGAAAGCATTTATGTGGTTCCACACTGAACTGAATTGGGAACTGATCCAAATTAAAACCTACCAAAAAAAACCTGAAAAACCAAAACCCAAAAGGAAAAAAAAAAAAGAAAATAGTTTTAACATGAATGAATTCCTGGATCCAGTTCTCTGTGCAGCTGTACAGATGCTTGTGCTGGCACAAGGGGATGATGCAGAGGCCAAAGCAAAGGGCAGAGGGAGACCACGCTGCTGGAAGCTGCAGTGCAACATTAGAAGGCCTTCCCTGAGTTCCCTGTGTCTGCAGCTCTGCTGTGTAAATAACCCCTGACTCCCTTTGATGGTTCTGGGTTAGAATTGTAGCATCAGCAAACAGAATTTAAAGCATTTCACTGTTGCCAAAATAGGTATCTGCCCCATACTGAGGAGGAGGATTTCCTTCCTCAGGGTGACCCAATGAGAACATTTTGTTTTGATTCATTTCTTATGCATGGAATTTGCTCATAAGCCAACTAATTCCTGTGCCAGAGAGTTTATAGACATTGTTTATGCTGGGAAAGGGAACACATTCTAAACTCCATTATTTCTTTATTTATATTTGATAAAAGAGGCATAATTAAAATTTGCAGGAAATGAGTTTAGCCTGATAAGTTAGTGGCTTATTAAGAGACTTATTTACTTAGTGTAGTTAAAAAGAGCATCTTTCTGTGTTTTCTTGAAAATCGTAGAGAATTGGCAAGGGTTTTCAAAAGAAATATTTGTGGGTATTGCAATTTGAGACACTCAAAGACATAGATAACTAACTACATAGATAACTAACTACATCATAGATAACTAAGTACATAAAGCATTGCTGAGTGCAAAGAATTAAGTAGAGGAATGAAAATGGTAGTGGTAGTTTTTTGTCCTTGCCTTCCTTAAAAACAACATGGTAGGAACTGGTTAAGTTGTTCTCAAAATGTTCTGTTATTTTTCCAGCTGACTGGATGCAAAACTGGCAAAACAAAAATCAGGCTCCTCTCCCAAAACAGCAACAATGATTTATTTGTAAATCTAAAGTGTTCAGAACCCAGGAACATGGGCTGTTTTGATGTCCATGTAATGTTTGTGTTGGTAGAGGCTCAGGGCTTCTTCTGTGGTGTTTTCAAGATAAAGCAAAGTTAAACTGTGTTTTCTCAGTATAATTCCAAAGTGATGGTGTTACACTATTGTGATGGTGTCCTGTTATTTAATTGCTGGGCTCAAATAAACATGGAAGCATACATTAGGATAAATAGTTTTTTGTTTTAATTGCATTTGCTTTGATTGTGCTTCACTTCCCTTTAGGAAGTAAAATGTTTCAAGCTCTATTCCCAGATTTTGGTCACTCTCATATCTCTTGATCCCCTTTTGTTCTTCCAGGACCTTAGTTGTCCATTTGGACAGTGCTAAATATCAGTGAGCTCAGTACTGGAGCAGTTAATTTTTATTCCTTCATGGGAAAATAGCTTTGGTTTTCCAAGTAAAATTCTCATCCTCAGTGGTTTCACCTGCTTTAAAAATGTACTTGCAAACATTGACGGCAAAAAAAATTCTTGCCCTAAAATTAGGTATTCAGTGGAAACAGGATGAATTTCTTACAGATGGATCCCTTGTGGCAGGGTAATCCTTTCACTTAACCAGCTCTTACTGAGCTCTAGAATGAGATTGCTGCCAGCAAATTCAGTTTTAGTCACTTGAAAAGTATGTGAAGTGCACTGTGTATTTAGCTTTTAAGTGCACTATGTATTTAAATTCAGAAAGTTTCAGGTGTAACATCAATATTTATTTTGAGAGTTCTGCTAAATAAAGTTTTAAGTCCTTACATTTGTTTCTGGACTTCCTGGGAGTGTACATCTCTTACTTAATGTAACTGTTCTTAAAGCTGCTGTTTATTCATGTTGGGTGTAGCCTATAACATGCAAAGATGTTTGTGGTGATGTGTTTTAAATGGATATTTTATCTGTCCAGACATGCAGATTTTGAAGTTTTCTGTAGTAGTTAAATGAATTTCCAAGGTAGGAGCCTGTAAGTGGGGCTTAATCACCTCTTCACAGACTGATGATATAAATAGTGCCTGTAAAAGCTGTTTTGGAAATGGGTTTGATTGCTTTTCATTATCTATAGTGGAAGTTACTAGAGGGAATCTTTGACTTACTGTGTTTGCAAAAAGAATCTGTAATTTACAAAAGAAAATTGTAGCATGTATACATCTGTCTTTTTGTTGTTTTTATAATAGTGCCTTAACTGAAAAAATCGTGTCAGTATTACCAAAAATGAAGTGTCCACATCGTTTGGAACCACATCAGATCCAGGGACTGGATTTCATTCATATATTTCCTGTTGTACAGGTAATAATTTTGTGGTGTATTGATACTTTGCTGAAAAAGGCCATAAAACTTGCATAAAAAAATAGAACAAAGCTTTGAATTATTTGGATCTTTATTTAACTTTGGAATAAATAAGCACAGAGAAGTAGTTTGATGTTTTTAAAGAATGAAGTGACATTATGGAAGATGGAATTTTGAAGCATTGTTTGATCCACATTTAGAAAGTAAACAAAACAAACTCTGAATTCTTTGCAGTGGAGTCAGATTGTGCCTATTGTGGAATGCCTGCTGAAAGAAACCTGAATTTAATCTTGTTGTGGAATCTGATAGTCTGCTTTGGCAGATTAGGAAATAGAACAAATGCCTTCCAGTCTGTGTTTAACTTATGGAGTAAGTTACACAGATAAACCATGAATCAGAAGGATATGAATAAGGCAAAAGTCATTGGGGTCATTTCTGTAAGATTAATTTATCCTTATTTCCTATCACTTAAAACTGTGCTCTGACAAGTGATCCTCTTACTGTGTATTTGCTGAGCACCACTGACTCACCATGTGCCTCATTCTCAAGTTTATTGAGATTTAAGCTAACACTTGATGTGTTCCAGTTACATGTGGTATTTTGAGAATCCTTGGCATTTTTTGATTTTCCTTTCATCTACACACAGAAAGGTATCTTTGACAGATAGGGAAAATGAAGACTGTTAAGCAAGCTTCTTTTCCATTAAATATCTCCTTACCCTGTGCCTGTGAAGGAATTTAGCAAGTAAGAAGAATCTAAATTTCAATCTGTAAGAAGTGGGGAAAACTTCCTGGTGCTTTTTCCTCTTCTACTTGGAAGGTCCTGAGGAAAACCACACTTAACTGCACTCCCCACAAAACATTCTGTGGTATGTGCTGCTCTTACACAGCTTTCAGGCTGTGGAAAATTTGTATCTTCCTAATGTGTGTTTTTGCTTCTGAACCCTTATTTCCTATACAGAAGAAAAAAAAAAACTCAACCCAGGTGAGTTTCTTGCCCTGGTCACTGGATGGCAATGAATGGTTACATTTATCAAACACTAGGCTTCTTTCATAAGATATATATTCCTCCTCCTGTAAAAACAATAGCACTAGGTGTTCTTTTCTGTCACCTCTTTTCTGTCACAAATCCTGGTGTGGGATATTGCTTCTGGAAAGAAGAACTATTAATTCTAAACAGGGAGGAAATCTGCCTCTAGGTTTCTCTGAGGGCAGTGACTCCCAGTATTTGTAGCTGGCCAGTAGGTGGTACAGCTGACCCATACAAGTATTTTTTGATGGGCTTAGTTTTTGGTATGTGGAGGATCTTGGTTTAAAAATTGTGGCTTTCTGTCAGCTCCCTGTGCAGTTCTGCCTGCTCCACATACTGCAGGTTCCTCATTTCATCCCATCCAAGACAGACTTTCAGGAAAACTTTTTGGTGTCACCAGAATACTGTTCTGAAAAAGACCATGCAAAATATGAAATGCTGACTACACCATGTAGGATTTGTGTATTTGATAATGGCATTTTATTCAATGCCCTGGTAAAATCGAGATTCCACTTGGTATCTGTAAATTTCAAATCAGTTTTCAAATACTACAAATGCTTGCTCTTAAATCTGGCATTGTGTCCCATTAGCTCTTGCACTGTGCAAGAATTTAGATGGATCCTTCCCTACAGGAAGAAATTAGGCTGAGTTGGCTCACTGCCATAAACTGTAGCAGAAATTTAAAAAAAAATTAAAAGTCTTAGAAATATTCCATTGGTAGAAATGTCATTGTTCTTCCTAATAAATTCTGCATATGATCACAGGCAAATTGTGTTGGGATGTTCTTGGTAATTAATATTCTTCATTTTCATCTCCTGTTGTCATCATGTTCTCCTCACTTTCCAGGGGTTCATGGTTATAGCACAGGAAACAGTTGTTGGTTCAAACTTGGATCCCACAACTGATCTCATCTCTTCTGTGACCTCCTGCACAGGCTGTCAACAGTCTGCAAGATTTATCTTCTCCAACATTGTTTAAAATGTACTTCAGTATTTTGTGGCTTTTTGTGTGGTCTTATAAATGTCAGAAGAAGCCTTTTTTCTTGCACAGGCATGTGGTTCTTCATGAGCACTTCATAGGCTCGAAGATCTGTCTGTTCCTGGTGGAGCTGTAGTCTTTTAAACCAGTGAGTGATCTACAGTAGGAGAATTTCATACAAGAAACATATGCACAAAGGAAAAAGAAATGTTTATAAAGTTGCAAATACTGACCCTTTTTGTTAGGGTTAGGCCAAAGAGTTGCCATGTTTACAAATAAATCACATGCTCTTGTTTCCATGCTTAAAAATGTGCTTTTAGCTTTTATCATGTATTAAAAAATAAGGCAGCAGTGGTGCTTGCTGCTGTTATTGTTTTGTTTTCAGCTAATACAATTTTTTTTCAGTGGCTGGTGAAACGTGCAATAGAAACAAGGGAAGAAATGGGAGATTATGTCCGTTCTTACTCTATATCACAGTTTCAGAAAACTCACAGGCTGCCAGAGGTAAGATTGAGGCAGTTCTTGTTTCTATGTCAGATGTTCAGCTGCAGTACCATCCTCACAGCTCTGATATCTGCACACTTCACCAGAGTAAAGTGCCATTGTTTTGTGAGTGAGTGTTAAAGGAATCCTCTACAAATTTATCTGGGAAAAAAATGAAGCATTATTGTGACAGAAATTTTGTAGATTCTGGTTAACTTTTGCCTAATGCAGTATTTGGTATTTTTATGTCTTTGTGTTCAGAAGCACCCAGCATGCTGTGGAGAACCTAATGTAGTTAATTGAGAATGAATATGCTGTTAATACTCTATAATTTGGGGTTTCTTTCAGAGTGTTGAAAGGCAGCTCTTGTCTTCCTGTATCCAAACCCCAAAATTTGCTTCTGAACACCAAATTTGTAAAAAATTTCATTCAATAACTGATCTTTTCTTCAGCAATGAGATGAAGTTTCCCTCATAGAGGAGGAGAGATTGAATGAGCTTGGATATGTGCCTGTAGTGCAAAGCCATCAGTTCTGTTCTTACATATCTCAAGGCAATTCCATTTTAACATTTAGAACCTAAGGATTAAAGGCAGATGTCCCTAGTATTGGGATAGACAGATTTAATTAACTTGGCATGCTTTTGATTTTGATTTTTTTTAGAAATAATTCTCTTTAATGCTTAGAAACTAAACAGTAGAGGAAACTTCTCTTTTCCACATCAAGCCTATCCCAGCTTCATTTCTTACTAGTGTATTAAAGATTGGAGATCCCAGTAGTGGGCTGGGACTGCTTTTGTGTCAGGTCCTGCCTGAGCAGAGAGCAGCCAGGCTGCTGATCTGGACACAGTTGTGATGAACTATCTCTCATCTGAAGGCAGAAGCAAGTACTTTTCTTGTTACAGCAAATCACTAACAATTCACCAAATCACTGGGCAACTCAGAAACTGTTTGACAGCTTTGTTTCACAGAATCATTAGAATGTTGGACATTTAGTGTCCATTCCTGGTGTTTTAATTACTTCCACTAATGTTTTTCAGGATGATGAATTCATGCAAAGAAAAGAGAAGGCACTCAAAACAGTTACTGATATCTTTGTAAGTATGTTAGATTTCTTTTTTTTATGGCCAAGTGAGTGGTATTAGTAATGAAATGGATGTGGTTAATTGGGTTTTCTGATGAGAAGATCCCAATTAAGTTACATGTTGATCTTCATCCTTGAGGCAGGTCTCAAATGCCAATATATCACATTGATAGGTGGGCACTGTATGAGGAGATAAACCACATCCACTGCCTGCATGGACTGTATGGAATCCCACACTGTCAAGCAAAACTCACAGGGTGGCCTACAGACTATGAAACCCTCAGCAGATTTAAATGCATGTTTGAAGCTGTCAGCAGTTGTGCTATTTGCCTTGAAATTGGTTAATATGGTGATGATCTCAATTATCTGCATTTCAGAACTTGACTTTTTCACTTGTAATTAGCAATGAAAGTAAACACCCTGCTTCAGAAATGCTTTCTTCAAGTAGCAGATGTTGGTTGGGAAAGGTGATCTCACCTGTGTTCTCCCTTTTCTCATGCAAATCTCCTAACTGTTGGATAGACTGTTTGTATATATTTTTGAAAGCTTGTTCATGAATGCTACAGAGAGGTAAAATAGTAAAATACCTAAGCTCTCTCACTCTCACACCTGAATTCAGATGTCTGGCTGGCAACTGCAGTTTCTGTCCTTGCTTTCTAATTTCCTCTTGCTTGGGACCATCAATTCCCCATTTCTGACTCACAGTAGTTTGCTACTGCTTTGGGTTTTTTGGACCATCTTGATAAATTCCAGGGCAGCATTTGACAAGAGAGGAGAAATCTGGATTTGCTTGGAATGGGACATTTTCAAGGCTCTTCAATAAATACTGAAACCCTGCTCTCCTGAGAAAATCCCTGTTTTTTCAGACAGCTCTAGCCAGGCACTCTGAGCTCTTCATGCACAGATGGAGGTGCTCAGTGCTGGTGTAAGGAGCCACATGAGAGGTTGTGTAATGGGCCAGACAAGTCACCTTACTCTTTTGGCAGGTTTTGGAGGGAGGTAGTTGTTTTTCTGTACAAATGACCTGAGTGTAATATATGTGGTTGAATTACAGATGTGTTTGTAGAATAACATTGCAATGAAAGTCTCCAGGTGATGACCAATGTAGCTCCTTTGTTAATCTATTTGAATAATTGTCCTTTCTTTGGAAATTTCAATTACAGTTTCTGAAGTGTTGTTCTCCATGTTTTGATTGGGTTTTAAATTATTAGCAGACTTATAGTGAGTCTTTTACTCCAGCTAGAAGCACTTGCCTTTCCAGCGAGACATGTATTCTGTTTTATTAGCTTACATACATTAGCTTACCCTCTATCAATTTGTACTTGTTTGAAATCTCCACTTTGGGATCACATCTTTGAAAAGATGGAAAGCCATTGCAGCAGTGTTATGGTGTAGGAATTGTTTGTTCAAAATAATAGTTTGTGTGGAATGGAAAACCAGATTTAAAACGAAATGTTCTCCCTTCTGTTTTTAAATTTGAAGCAGCTCTATCAGTACAAAATAGAAATTGTGAATTCTTGTTTTGTTTAATGGGCTGTTGTTGAACTAATGGGTTACACTTGGATAGCAGGAGATAAAAGTCATTTTACTACCAAACTTCTTGAGACTTTTTCACTGTCTTGCAGGAGGTTTACAAACCCCAGAGAAAATACAAACGTCAGACAGGAGCTGAGGAGCTGCTGGATGAGGAATCAAAGGTTCATGCCACACTTCTGGAATATGGCAGGTGAAAGGCTTCATTTAGCTCTCTCTTGGTTTTATTGTGTTTTTTATAAAAGCAGCTTAAATACATCATCCTTCTGATAGTGTGTCAATCAATATTAGGTTTTTGCAAGCAATCCTCTGAAAATTTGGTGAAAAAGGACCTGCAGTTGCTGTTTTTTCTTTTTGTCATTCTCATGTGGTGGCTGACTCATGGTTGAATGTTTTGTCTTCTCACTTTGCTGCAAACTTTCATTCAGAGACAAAGTTACCAAGGCTTTCAGTTTTCCATTATCTCTGAAAGTCCCTCTGGTTTACTGAGAGCTCTCCAAACACATAAAAATGAAGTTACAGAGCTTCTATTTCTAGTTTCTATTTCCAGTTTTCCTTTCACAGTTTAGTGGTAAGGACATCTTGTCTGCTGTCTGAGCTCTTAATACTTAACAAGTAAAGATTACATCTGAATTCCATTTTGTATCTTCTGGGGCTTCTTTTCCCCCATAGCCATAGATTTTTCGATTTTTCTTTTTGTCTCACTGTTTTGAGTACTTTCCTTTTAACAGTAACATGAACTGTAGTGTAATGGCTCAGGATTAACTTTAAAATGGGAAGAGAGCATTGCCTTTTCCTCTCATGAGCTTTACATGATAATTTTTTATGGAAAGTCAAGATTTGCAAATCTTGATGGGATATGGAATATTCAGATAATGGATCTGAAACCCTTCTGTATATATGCTCCAGTACCTGCTTATTTAGTTTACTCAAAACATTTCAAAACTAATTTGATCCTGGCTCTTGGTGCATATCTTATGTTGAAAATTGATAAAAACTTAATGTATTTGTGGAAGTTATAAACAATAGTATTTTTCCTTCATGTTTCTATTGTTCTTTTAGGAGATATGGATTTAGCAGGCAAGCAGGAAAAACAGAACAGGTAAAAATATACTAATTTAAAATACTCAAACTGTGGGAAGAACTGCATTGTTGAAGTGTTGGTTACTGTTAAATCTTAAAATACAGCAGAATAGACAGCTATAACTTCTACTGTTAACAGATTTTAAAAATGGCTAAGTGCAATTAAAAATCAGCATGCCATGAAAGGTGGAATTGATTACCCTTTTTAAAGGATTTCATTCATCTCTGCTTACAGATCACATTTTGCAAACTTATTTTTTGTTTAGAAGAAAGAGGGTTTGGGCATTGGGTTTGTTTTGGTTTGACTTTTATTGTTAGGTAATGACATATTTTGTCTGTTTTTATTTTTCATCTGAGTGTTCCATAATGTGATCATTAAAGGGTCTTTCTTTTTAAAGAACCATTCAACTTGGTAAGAAATACTGTAGACATTTAGTACAAAACACTGTTTATTGTGATAGGGAAACCTATAAATAAATAAAATTATAAATAAATCATTGTCCTTCTGGAAAATTAGCATCCTTGCTGTGCTTTTGATGATTATGGCATCTTAAAATGTCCATAAAATGCAGGGTACCTGCAGTTTTGTGATTTCAGTGCAGATATTAATTTGGCTACAAGTCTTTATTACAGAGATAATGAAGGTGATGCATTAAACACATCATGGACCCAGCAATACATTGAGTAGATTAAAGTTGCTCTTCTTCATCATCTCAGTATTCCACATACAAATGTCACATTTATTTTTTTTAAATGGAGATATATCTCCATCTAGGCATGCCTGTTTTCCCTTCAGAGTAACCACTAGTCATGTTTACAGAGTTTATTTTGTTTCTTCAAAAGTTCTGTTGCCTTTGGGATATTGTATATTAGATATTGTGGAAGCTGAGCCCCCAGAAAGGCAGAGATGGACAGTGAAATATGTTAGTGGTGTGGTAGGGTGACCTAGAAACTGAGTCTGGCTGTCCCCAGTTCTCTTTACTTCAGTGGTACAAATTCTTCAGGCATGTTTGTAATTTTTATGTTATATGTTTGTTACACAAACAAAATAAAGTTGCAAAATTTATTAAAAAAATTCATTCCTGTCCTGTGTAGAAGGCATCATATTCTGGGTTGTCTCCTGAGGTTAGCAGCTCTCAGAAGGCTGTGCAATAAGGAATCTTCAGATAAGATAACCAGATAAGCCAGAGACACAGTTGGAATACTTGTGAGAAATCAGGAAGGCTTACATTTCAATTGGCATGATTTGGAGGGTGAGGATGTTCCAGTTGCTGAAATGTATTCATATAAACAGAATAGCTACATTCCAGTTTTCTCCTTCATGTCTTTCTTAACACTTTATTATACCTAGTTCCAATATTTTAATGTCTTAATTTTTCTTTAAAAGGCTGAAGATAAAAAAGCAGTGCTACCTCCAGGGCTTGCAGCAGCAGGGAAGGCTGAGCCTTCTGATGAAGATGACCTTCAGGCTGCTGAGGAGGTGAGCCCCAGGCACAGCAGGCATGGGAGTTACTAACCTGGGGGAGAGATTTCAATTTTCACTGCCCAGTCATTCTCCAAAAGAAGGACAATTTCCATGGTTAGTTAAAGTGAAAGTTGCTTCCCACAGGAGAATACAGAGCTTGAAATTGATCCACAAAATTAATGCTTTTTGGTATTTAACACCTATAACCTCTTTATTATTTCTTGAATCTGAGCATTTTTTAAAAAGATTGATTTTTGGTTGACAGTGGGAGTGGAATAGTCTAAGTGGAAGTTTACTGTTACAAGAAATTTTCCTTACATTTGGTAACTTTAGCCACCTCTTCTTTTCACAGACTTAGGGCCCTGTTGCATGTTTTAAAATTACATGATTTTATGCATGATTACAGTATATGATACTAATTTTATGTATATGTCCCTGGCAGAAAGATAACAAAATGTTAGAAGTTAAATTGTTATGTATAATTCTTCATATTTTGCTGTAGCTTCGCATTAAAACTCTGATGACTGGCATGGCTGCAATGGCAACAGAAGAGGTCAGTAGCATTTAAAACTGATACAGCTTTCTTTAAATTATGGTTGATTGTGGTAATTATTCTTAAAATCAGGCTGCTGATTCAGATCTGAAGTCATGGAATGACTGTGTTTAAATTTTCATAAGGAGAGTGCATAAAAAGGGTTGAATTAGGAAGACAGTAAATTTTACAAGGCTAATTAGTTCATCATTTGCCTTGAAATGATAATGATAATATAAATAAATGCCTATTCCAAATGGTTTCTACAAGAATTTCAGGGGAAAGACATCACTCTGCAGCTATCCAAGATGCACTATCTTACTTCATTCATCTTGTGAAATTATTCAGATGATTACTGGGGAGAGTGCTGGAAAACTGTGCCTTTCTAGGTTCTTTTCAAAGCACTTATAAATACAACATTAGTCTAGGACACAGAAAATACTGGATATGTATCTTCTTAATTCGTTGTATTTAATGAAATAGTGGAATTTGTAGTCTATTCTTTGATTTCTGGGTGAAAGGACTGGAAATAATTTCAGCTGTTAAACATTGTTTCTGTTGATGCTGGAGTCATGAAAGAAAAGGTAGTAATTAGTCTAGTCTCAGAGCTGACTGACATGCTTTCTACTGAAATCCATTGTAGAATTCAGTTCTGCTTGAAAACTGGTTTTATACATGCATGCAGTTTAAAGGTGAATTCTTGCACATTCCTGCATGTTTAGAGGTTTATTAAGCAAATGCAAAATTCAGTATAAAGAATAAAAGTTAAGTTTCTGAAATAAGAATAATTTGCTAAAAGGATTTAAGTGAGACATTTCTATCAGCAAGGTTAGGTTTGGGGGGTGGAATGTTTCCTGGACTTTTCTTATGATAGGAATTTTTACTCATTGTGCAAATTTCTGTTTAAAATTAGAATTTATTGGAAATTATCATGTAAAAGTACAGGCAGTTCCAAAGCTCCAGGCATTTTCTTGATACAATTGCAGGGCAAACTGACAGCAAGCACAGTTGGCCAGATTGTTGGACTCCAGTCAGATGAGATCAAACAAATTGTGTCTGAATATGCTGAGAAGGTAAGTGTGTTACCTGAGTGGGTTTAATCACATGGTGTTTGATAGCATTTTAATTTAGGCTTTAAGCTGCCAGCTTCATTGCCATGATTCTCTTGAACACACTTTTTAATACATGCTGTGGGCAGCAGCACAGCCAGAGTTCAGGAAAGTACTTCAAAGAGACTTTAAACATACCCAGGCTTTTGGTGTGATAGTACAAGTCCCTGAATTGCATTTGTGACTAATTTGGGTTTAAGATCTGCCTAAATCCTTTCATGGATGAAGAGGGCCCTGAGTTTTATCAATTCAAACTAGAGGCCTAAATTCTTGATATGCTTTAAAATGTTCAGTGTTAAGCACAGAAATACAGCTCTGTGGGCCTGCTCAGAGAAAAGTCTAGGCCTCCTGCACTCAGATTTCCAGATGTTTGCACTGGACTCCAGTTCTCAGTCATGCTCTGGATCTCAAGTTTTGAATCTCATCAAACCCAAACCTTTGTTGCTTTGAGAAGTCAGAGCAATTAAATGTGTGTGTTTGCTCCAGTTGCTGTGTTCAGCTGTGATTGTTTTCTGCAGTAATGTGAAAAGAAAATCTGGCTCTTCAAGCAATTAATGCATCCAATACATCACTGCCAGATATGAGTTATAGGTTGCTCTTACTTGTCCAACAGTCTTCTCATATTTCTTCCTTTTTGTTGACACATTTGAGGTATGGAGCTTTCCCATTTTGGAGATAAACCCTATAGCTCAACAGCAAATTCTTGGCCTTTCTTTATTATAAAAGATAGGAAGAATAGAAGCCCAAGGGTCATATTTCAATGTTACATTTCTTCTGTTCTGAGAACAGGGAGCAGGACCTTGACTATTATAGTTGAGCAATGATTAATACTCTGAAAAGTAAGAACTGATTCAAGTCAAACCAAAAATAGATCACTTTTCAAATCTATGGGATGTGATAAAAAAATAGAATTTCTGTGCACGTATGCATGCACCAGGAAGAGAATTAAGGATGTTATCAAAGAGTTTATTGAAGCATCAGTAATGTTTAGATATAATTCTAATAATCTTAGCCCCTGGTAACTGTACATAGCCTGAGAAACACAGCAGAGTTTGTTTACCAGAGTTTTGTCTTACCACAAGCCCAGTAAAGATCCTTGACAAGCCACATTCTAGGTCTGATGTTGCCATGGGCCAGGACCTTTCTTACATGAGGCATTTTTGCAGAAGATCAATGCTTAGAATTTCCTGCATTTGCCCCTCCATTCTGCTGCCATGTTAACCTGCTGAGTGAACTGGAGGAAGGACTGTAGTGTCATTCCTTACCCTCTGAAAATACTGGCAGAAAATCATTAATTAATAGCAAATTGATCATCTTTAAACAGTCAGAGACATTATTGATGGTTCTTTCCCATTTTCAAAAAGCAAGCTGTAAAGTTCACTTCTTGAAATATGATCCACTTTTTTTTTAATAGCAAAGCTGTGCTACATAGATTTTTATTATTTCTGCAAACATCAGCCTCAGAATAATTTAGCTCATGTTTGTTTCTCTTGCATTTCCATTTTTCTCTATTTGTATCTTATGCATGTGAGAGGCTAAATGTGGTGGTGAGGATAAGGTTTTGAAATGCATAAGATGATGAAGGAATGTGATTTGACTAATTAATGAGAGGAATAAGTAAGACTGTATATTTGTTGAGTAGTTCAGGGTCACAGGTGTTCCTTAGAGGCATTTCTTTCTTTCCTAACAACAAAAGCAAAGAAAGCCTCTGAATTGTTGGGTTAAGCCATCAGAATTGGGCTTCTCTTGCTGTGAATGTAAAAACATAACATCATTAAGCTGCTCTTCAATATGAATTACATAGAAAATGTAGAGGGGGAAGACAGGATTTGCCTCTTATTTTCATTTAAAATTAAGCTGCTTACCCATCTGCCTGGAGTGGAACCAGGAGCAGATATGAGTGAAGAATATATCACATTCCTTGTAGCATTTTAGCTGATTATGCATTGTAGCAGTTGTCAACATTGGGTAATTATTCAAAAAGCACTTAGTATTGAAGTCTTTGACAGACTATAAATTAGCACTTGAGGTACTTGAAAATGAACTGGTTTTCTAGTGAAACATTGGAAAATGGATTAAGTGAAAAAAAGTCTGAGTGCATGAGGCAAATTAGGAAAACAGATGGATGTAAGTATCAAAGTGAAGACTTTCAAAAGGTACAAATAATCTTAGGCAAATAATCCCTTAGAGATCAAGATATCACTGCTTTTTAATGATTCTTTTGTCTACTGCAAATATACAATTTTTATTCTAAATGTTATTTTTTGTAAAGAATGTTTCTGTCAGCTTTGCTTTCACAATTCAGAGAGAAGAGGAGGCTGGATCCAGATTGCTGTCTCTGTTATCATTTATGAGACACTCTTGGCAATGCATGCTGGATGGAGTAGTTCTCAAAGGCTGGTGTCAGCAATACACATGCACACACAAAAAAACCAAAAAAAAACAACCCCAGAGTGGTAAATGCATCTGCCACACTGAGTATGTCATTGTCATTCAGCATGGAGATGCAGCCAAGCCTCTATTTCAGAATACACTATTGTTCAAGGCTTCTGAAAATCCTGGAGCAGCTTGTTGGAGTGTGGAACATCTCTGGTTGAAGAAGTTCAGTGAACACCATGGCTTAAGGTGTTTTTTAGTATGCTTGTATTTTTTCCATTGAAGAACTCTACTGGATTTAACCATAATGCTGATGCGAAAAAAAAAAAAGAAAAATCTATCTTCTAGTACACTGTAGGATTTCCCACCTGTCCCAGGGCAACTGACTTTTTTAGCTTACTTTACTTGCAAATTTTGGAATATAATTCAGTTGTTCAGCTGCTTGCTTATTTTGATGGGAGGTAAATCAGTAAGTCATTCTTTTGGATAGACACAGTTCTTGATAAGGAATATCACAGGTGTGTCCCACTTTGGTATTTCCTGAGCTTCTGAAGAAGCAGAAAACAATGCTGTGAGGTCCAAAAGGCTGTTGTTATTGTTTTTCAGCAATCTGAGCTTTCTGCTGAGGAGAGACCAGAAAGGCTTGGAGCTGCCCAGCAGCACAGAAGGAAGGTGGCATCTCTCAACAAGCAGATCTTGCAGAAAACCAAACTCCTCGAAGAGGTAAGTGTTGTGTGTGTAGTAAAGAAGAAAACATTGATAAAAGTGGTTGATCACAAAGTTTTTCCCATCCAGAAAATACCTGCAGGGTATCTTCTGCACCAGCAATTTGTCATGCTGAACACTGATTCCTCTGCTTGCATTGCCCTTGGATTGTGAGAACAGTTTGTGTTCCTGGGGGCAGTTTGCTCAGCCTTAATTTTGGGAAGAACCATGATTTTGCCATTTTAACAGCTGAGGGCCCTTTAATTCTGTGCAGCTTGTTTTCAGTACATAACAATCTCAGTGCTGTTTTTATATGGGGAAAAAATGTACTGACAGCTGTAAGCCAAATATAATCCTTTTATCACTTTACTAAAGTAAGAATTTCCTGGCTGAATTTCATTTACCACTTGCCAAAAGCAGCTTTTGAAATCAGTGACAGTCAAGAACCATGTCTTTTAAGAAATATTTATGGAGTTCTGGCTTCAATACTGCAGTAAGTTTTGGCAAGATTTCTCAAAACTAAAAATTCATGTCAGTTTTCATGAGATGTGGACTGCAGACTTAAAATTTTTTAGTTAGTTAGAATAAAATTTGTTGGTGAACTCTTGATAAAAAAAATATGAAAAACAATGAGAAAGCTTTATTTTTATAAATTTGGAAAGGGAAGAGTGGAGCATTAAGTCACAGCTGTGTGTTGTGAACAGCACACTAAAACAGTATGAAAGGAAGTGGAACTGAGCTACGTGTGCATTTTTTGTTTGCTCACTTTTGCTCCACTTTTGTAAACCATGTCCTGTTTTGGTTTTACTATTTGCAATCTTACCTTAAATCATAGGGAATTTAAATAAGGATGTTCTTCTAAAATTAGCTTCTGTAAATTAATTGACAAGTGAAGTATCTAATACTTGTTTATAATACATATTTTGCTTGCTGCCTTATTAGACTTTTCATAGTTACACAGAAGAGAACCATAAAGCAGCTTGGTTATTTGGTGTGGAAGTCTCTGTGGTTTGGTGCCATGGTGCTTCTGTGTAAGTCTTGAATTGCCCTGACTTATTTGGAGAAGTATAAAATGGGACTCATTCTTAGCTTGGTGTGAAACTAGGCCAGTACAGCCAGGCTAGAAAAGTTGGAGCAGTTTAGCAGAGATTCTGTCCAATTCTGTTGGCCTCTAATTTGGAAAAGCTGTTGTTTATTCTAGGACTTTATGGACCTAAAGGATCAGGTGGTAAATGTTTGCTATTAGTAATTAACTGTTCACTCAGAATTCTTGCAATCAGTTGCAAGAGTAGCTGACAAGACAAGACAGTGTTTGTTATGCTTGGCCTGCTGTTTGACAGACAACCATTATGAGCAGCTCAAATATTCTCTGTTCTCCATTACAGGTGTAATTAGTGTGAATATAGAATCCAACTCTTTTTTTTTCTCTTTTGTAACAGTTGCAAGCTAAATATGCTGATCTGCAGGAAAAATGTACCAAAGCAAAAGAGACGTTAACAGAGGTAATCTTTGGTTTTTTCTGTGCTGTTTGTAGCTGAAACTTTTTTGAGAAGTTCTGTTTGTGAAGGGATGTATTAAACAGTGAAGGTGTTTGCCAGCTTAGCTCACCAATCTCCTGGTGTAGGAAAGTCAATTTATTATTAATCAATTAAGTATCAATTTATTATTAATTGTAACCCTTAGGTTAAGAGTTACAGTGAAAAGCTGGACAAGGAATTGGCAGCCTTAGAAACAATAGAATCCCAAGCAGATTCTAGGTAAGTTTCTTCCTTTGTTACCTTTGAAATTCTGAAAAATAATGGTTTTAAAATGAATCATTCAATGATTCTTGGTTTGTCAACCTTAACAAATAACTAAAATTTAAAAATTAAATTATTCTCCAGCTTGCTTTCCAGAGACAGGGAAACATTGCAATAGGATTCAGTCAGAATGAAAAGTGTCAGTCAGTAGTTCAAAATAATTGTAGGTGTTTAAAGCTGAAGAACCCTAGACACATCTGACAAGTAGATGAGGCCTTCTTGATTTATTTTGTTCATATTTGAAGCCTTCATCTCACATAAATTAAATGGAAGTCTCTCAAAACTTTCACAGTAATGAGGTTAAAACGTAACAGAGCCATCAGAATAGTCAGTGTAACATTCCATATTTATTTTGACCTTGGTATATCAGTGCTGATATTTGGGGTTTTAATTTATCCAGATTTTATTGTAAATTTATTTAGAACTAAGCTTGTTTTGATGTATATTAATTGTCCATCTGTTTAAATTAGAAACTAAAAATCTAACATAGTTTACTGGATCTTCAAATTTAGCATATTACAGAGTCTGAGAGCACTGGTGGCCATGAATGAAAACCTGAAGAGCCAGGAGCAAGAGTTCAAAGCACATTGTAGGGTAAGTTCCAGTATCTCCTGGAAGGATTCATTTAAAACTTGGTAAATAAGCACTTTCCTGGTGTGTTGTTGTGCTGTGTGTCCTTGTCTGTCATCTGTCCCACCCCCCAGGTACTGCTCCCTCCAGGTTTATATTGAATATTAGCACTCCTGGAGCAGGGAGGAGTGAGGAAGGATCTGAGCTGGTGTGGCCTTCCATGATATCCTGAAGCAGGGAATATTGTTTATTCTTCCAAATTTAAATAGTGTGTGTGGTCAGCTCTGAAATTTTGTTAGAAGTTGCGTTGTCAAGATCCTTCCCTCACCTCTCTTAAGAGAAGATGTCTCAGTTAAAAAAAAAATCAACTTTTGTTTGTTTAAAGGAAGAAATGGAGAGACTACAACAAGATATTGAGACTCTGAAAGCCGAAGCAGCGGAAGATGGGGAGGAACAGGTAAAGCAAAAGCCTAAGTTCTTATTTCCAAATTGCATTTTGGAATGTTTGTTTAAGTCTTTCTGACTTCTGGGACATTCTTGTAAGCCTTAAAGTGTCTGCTGGAATATTTAAAAAGCTCTGTAAAGCCACAGTTCAGGCTGATAATCCTAGAAATACAGGAGTGTGCAAACAGCAACAGCATTATCTGTTCTTTTCACAGAATCCATGGGGCTCTGCTTGTAGATGCTTTTGTGCGTTTTTCTTCTTTCTCTGTAGTACCAGAGAAGAATCTCTGGGTGTTGTGCTAAAAGCTGTGCATATCTCTGACAGAAACATGTCTTCCTCAGAAAGAATGTCTGGTTTGGTTGTTTTTTCTTAGAAGTGGGGTTATCTGAAGGATGAAAACACAAGCTTTCAGTGGCTTGGTGCACTGCATGCAGTGAGCAGCTGTCAGAAGTTAGACTTTAACACAAGTGCATCCAGACTGATAGCAATGAATAATGAATGAACAGAAAAGGAAAAGCTTCAATGACTTTATTTTCAGTGGGTAAACATTTGATGCATTCATACCTCTGGAACAAGGCAGATTACAACTTCAATGATGCTGCTGTCCTCTTCAACGCAGCATGAAAAAAATTAAAGTGCAAACTGAAATCTTAAATTTTTCAGCAAGGAAAAAAAACCTATCTAGCATAGCTTACTGGATCTTCAAATTTAGAAGCCCACACTGCAGGAAGTTTAGAACACATGTCAGAGGCTTTATGTTCTGTTCAGGTGCCTTGTTTATTCTTAACCCCACCAGTGAATCAAAGTATAAACACTCAGACAAGGGGTACTGACAGTCTTTGGATTTGTATCTTCAGTTCATTCATGTATCACTGTTGTAAAGCAGTGCAAAAGCTATTGATAACTCTTAAAAACTAAAATATCAAAAGTTAAAAACCGTTTAAATGTTCTTGTTTAGAGTAAATGATGTCAGGCTTTTAATACAGATAATGAATTATTATTTTAAAAACCCCAAACAATAAATGTGGTGTTATTGTGGGAGCCAAAGATAGGCAAAACCAGAAAACAAACCAAATCTGCCCATTTTTGCACTGCAGCTCTCCTATGCTACTGTAATACACAATTGTTTTGGGTTCTCAACTTCCAGGAGCCAAGTAAGATTATAGAACAGCAGTACAAAGCTGAGAAAGAGAAACTTCAAAAGATCCGCCTGCTACTGGTGAGTTACTCTTTGTGTCCTTACTTGTGCAAAATTGCTGATGTTTGTCTTATCTTGGAATTTCTAATACATTGTCTTGTTGTGCTAATTTTAACAATTGTTTCTGTCACAAATCAATTGCAAAAAGAAAAAAAAAAAAAATTGATCCTCAGCCAAAGCTTTTTGTTTTTAAAATCAATTATTTAATAACAAAGTATTGCTGGGGGGGGCTTCATCCATTTTAAGAAGAGAACAAGAAGAGGCTTTGTTTTCTCCCCTCCTAACTTTCTATTCAGGCACGAAGAAACAGAGAAATAGCCATTTTACAGCGCAAGATTGATGAAGTTCCCAGCCGAGCTGAGCTCACACAGTATCAGAAGAGATTTATTGAACTTTACAGTCAGGGTATGTATATCAAGCAGGACCATCCTGCTGAAGGCTAAAGCCCTGAAAGGAGGGCAGTTGCATTTTAAGCATATGGCATGTAACAACAGCACCTGCCAATTTGGTGGTATTTTAAAGGTTTTTGGTGTTCATATTACACATCATATTTTTGAGGTTTTGTAAGCTGGGCTTTAAGAATACGCCTGAGGGTGAAACTCAGTGCACAAGATTTCTGGACTAAATTTTGTCTGCAGCAGGTTCTGTCATTTAGGTTAATAGCCAGTATGTTCTGAAACTCCTTAATTCACCATTTACAAATGAAGTTGCTGTGAGGTTGAATCGTGTTTAATTAATTTGCCTTACCATTAGATTGCTTTTATTGTTTCCACTGACATGACATAACTGGTTCTGAACCAAACTATGTCAAGAACTACCAAGTAAAAACAGTTTCTTGAGGGGATTGACTTCTTTCATTTTTAATTAACACAATCCTGCTATATCTTGGTAGTAGCAGAATACAAATTGTCTTTAGCTGTTATGATCAGAAATTATAAAATTGGAAAAGGTGCAAATGGAGTAGAATTTCAAAGTTGTTCCACTAAACTGGTAACAGACCGGTATGCTTACTGGTGTATATTTAACTAACTTGTGTGTTAGCATAAGAAAACCTAGCTAATGATTCAGAGATATTCAGCATTTATTAAATAAATGTGTGAAGCAAGCTCTGGAAGGGTGAGCAGTTCCAAACTGGTTATCTGAGTGGGATCCAAATCCCCTGCCCTGGTGAGGCATCTCCAGTGGCACAGTTCTGTGCTGTCCTCCACAGGTATTGTGCAAATACATGGAATAGATGTGAGTACAAGTCCAGTGCTTCTTCCCCCCTTTGCTGTGCCATGCAGTTTATTTAATCAAGTCCAGCTATAAAGAGCTTTGTTGTTTTTCCTTGAATTTTCTGCACAGTCTCTGTCATGTCTAATTCTCTATCATATCTGGTCAGATACCTGCTCAAAAGATGGAGCTTCCTTTATATCTGAAGTACAGAGAGATTAGCATCAAAGAGACTTGGGCAGCTTTGGGGGTGGATTTAAGATGCTTTTATGGGACTTTGTTTTCTAAAGTACAAAGTGTGAGTAGTATCTCAGGATAACACACTGCTCAGTCATGGCTGGGAACCTGCATTGCACAGGCTAAGCTTCTAGAGAAATGAGCTGGGAGTCTCAAGCCAGTTTTTCTGTGCATTGTTGTATTTTTAGAGGTACTTAGAGGCTTTTCCCTCAGCCAGATTCAGGTGACCTTCAGTTGCCAAAACATGGATTTTTTTCACTTTGCTTCAAGGGGTTAGACAGGACAATCTTCAGCACTAACCTCAAACCATAGTGATTTTGTGATTTTTACACCAGAATCTTTTTCAGCTATATTCAGTGTTTTGGTTTTGACCTAACTGAGCCTCTTCCATTGAAAATGTTTAAGAGAATCCATGAGCCAATTGGTTCCCTTTTCTTCTTCCCCTTTTTTTTACCCGGCTTGGGTTCTGGTGTGTGCCCATAAGGCTCCACAAGTTGGCACAACTTTCCAACACAGGTGAAATATTGAAAGGTTTTCTGAGTTGTTTTGTGGAATCCACTCATGAAAGAGTTGTGACTACCAGAGCTGCTGGAAGAGCAGAAGGAGGTGCATGAAGGAAATGGTTTGGGAAAGGCCTCTTTCATTTGGCAGCAGTTCTGCAAATCCCAGACTAATGAGCAAGATTTCACTGAGGTTCATCATTTTTAACCCATACATTTTCTCCAGCTTGTGGTTTCTAGCCAGAATTACTTTTGCTGCCTGTGGAACTCTTTCCTTGGGAGTCACAAATATATTGGACTTCCTCAGGCATTGAAGAACTAAAGGCTAGAGGAGGACTCAGAAGATTTAAGTATCATCTTGTAAGCCCAAAGGGAAGGCATGTGTGAGCCTTGCCTTCCCAGCTGAGCTCTGACCAACATCTGCTGTAACCACCTAAACCAGAAAGTATTACTTAATTCTATCACCACACATAGATTATAAGATAAAAAGACTTTAAGACAGCAAAATCTTTGTTGGGTATCTTGCACATGCGTAGCTTGACATTTATAGTCTAATGCACTTTTTCCCCACACAGTCCTCCCAAGATTATCTGCTCTTCCCTGTCCCTGCTGAGCCTGTGCCCCTCCCACAGCCCAGGCAAGGCCACTGTGAGCAGCACAGCTGCCTGGGGGTGTCAGGGTACAGCACAGACAGGCACCTGATGGTGCCAACATGGGCTGGCAGAAAGGGCTGCCAGCAGTTGGGGCTTAATTTAGACACTGAGCTGTGTTGTTCTTATAAGAGATGAAAGCTGAAGCCCTGCTGAGAGAAACACTGGGAGGATGTTCCCTCTGCATGTACATTAGTGACTGTGTTCCATTATTGATAGTGGAAAATATGTTATAGAAAGCCTACAGAGTATTTTTACAGATTCCATTTTACCTCGTATTCTTTTATTATTCTACCCTCTTATTTTTTGTTTGCAGTCTCAGCAACTCACAAAGAAACCAAGCAGTTTTTTACTCTATATAATACACTGGATGATAAGAAAGTATATTTGGAAAAGGAGGTAAGAAAATGTTATTACTATTTTCCAAGTATTCAGTCTGTGGGGAAGGAAATAAAAAGTTTTTGCTTGGCTTTCTCCATATTCAGTCCTGTCAGAGCAAACTTACTGGTCTTTGTAAACAAAAATGGAACAACAGAATCATAAGATTATTTGTAATCTTGGAGGGGCAATGGTCTGTGTTGTAAAAGAATTGCTGTTAGTACAGCATGTTTGAACACTCACTGTGCTCTTGAAACATGAATAGCATTTGATCAGCAAATATCTCTGTAATCATAGCACCAAATTACCCTTTTTTCTCTTTTTAGTCAATACCTTTTATTATGAACCCAGACCACAGTCAGTGACTTTGGAGAGCAAATTTAAGCTGCTGTCAGCAGCATCAAATTTAGTTCTCAGGGTCTGAGCTGCCTACACTTTATTTGCTGGTGATTTCACTGGGTCAGAAGAGTAGTTTTCATGACAGAATGGTTTTTACCTCTCCTCTTTTCCATCTATGTAGAGTTCACTTCTATCTTGGGCATAACTGAGCAATTTCAGTCTTCTTTTTTTGCAATGACAAGTGTCTGATTTCAGTAAAGATGGAGAAATAGGAGGAAACAAGAGGAAATACAAATTATAACTTTACTTTTAAAGTACAAAGTGTTTTTATACCTCAGGTTTCTCTGTGTATTCTAATAAAATAAGAACAGATAGTGAGTTTTGCATTATTTAGATATATTTCTTTAGTTTGTGAGACAAGCAGTGGTCTAATTTCTGACTATGTAAAGACCCTTTTTCAGTGTCCTTTCACATCCTGTTTTAGAGATCATGAGCAACCATTTCCTTCCCTTGAGCAGCTGATTCTAATCCACGTTAGGTAGTTTTCATTTTTCCATTCAGAAGAGTCATATACCATATTTTTAAAAATGTATGAAGTACAAGCTATATTATATAACTTAATTTCTCCCCTACATTAGTATTTAATACAGACTTATTTGTTGGGGGTTTTGTTTTATTTTTGGGGGGTTTTTTTGAGGGTAAACCTGAAAATTTAAAAATTATAGAGAGAATGGTTTTGAAATGGGGCATAAAAAGTAGATTATAGAGAATAGAGAAACAGAATGTAGAACAGATTTACTTCACTGTTGTATAAACTGGGACTACTCTTGCTAAAATAATTCAATGCCTTTGGTGTTCACAGGGGGAATTCTGAATGTCTTCTGATGCCATCATAACTTAATTAAATGTGTAATATTATTGAGATTTCCTTGGGATGCATTTAATATTAGACCCAAAGTTTCAGCAAGTAAATATTGTCTAATAATGTATAAAACATGTCTTTGGCATCTCTGCTTCACAAAGATTTCTAGAATATACTTTCACTTTGTCTTGTTCCTGGGTTTTGGGGAGATTTTTTCCCCTTTTTCCTCCCCAAACCAGCCCTTTTGTAAAACACACTGAGCATCTTTGCTTTAAAACAACAATAGTAAGAACCATTGTACAGTTGAATTTTGGCTATGAGGGTTTTAGTTCTGACATGAAAGGTTTCTGTGATCATGGCTCATATTTAACCCTGTTTTCAGAAAGATGCATTTTTTTTAAAGGCTTTAACAGTAATTTTTTTCATAATGTCTTTCAATTTTGGGGTGTGTGTGCTGATTTCACTGTAGTGTGACACATCCACATTCTTCCTATGCCATGGTTGTGCAGCACTGCTGGGCAGGGCTACTTTTCCTGGCTTGAATGTGTGTATATATAGATATATATCTGTATAAACTGTAATTATGTTCTCAAGCACAGGCTTAATGGAAGTATCTTGAGGCAGGGCTGTGAACATGGCAAATATTGATGAGTAATGCAATATTTTCACTGCTGTAAATTACAGAATTCTTAAGCACCTTGGCTGCTTGGGAGTCTGTTCAGAATTTGTTTGAATTTATCCAAGGGAAGATCAGAAACACCTACAGATTCTGCCATGCCTGCTTATTTCTGTCTTTCAGGTGGAGGATTTTAGATTTAGGAGATGAATTCAGCTTTCTGTGGCAGTGGGGCAGGTGATTCTGTTTGCAGACCTTGGGTTTGCTTAGTGCAGAACTCTTCAAGCACTCATCAAAAGGAGAAACTGCTTGGAAGGCTTAACCACAGGAGACTTGCAAGATGTATTCAAAGCTGAGAGAAAGGATCACATTAATTTCCAGTTTTGAATTTTAATGCTCTAGGCAATATGTAAAAAAGGAAAAAAAATCAAAGGCAGTTACATAGGATGTATTCCATATAGTTTTATTAGTTGGGGGAATTTATACAAGCAGCAAAATATTCCTGGGAGTAAATGTTATAAATGTTTATTTTTGTCTTCATTGGGTGCAATGCTACTGTCTTGTAGGGGAAGCCACACCTCTGAAATGCCATTCTGTACTTTTTGTTAGTTCACCTTTTAGCACTCAGTAAAATACACATTACAAAGTGAGTAATGGTGCCTGGCTGGTAGGGAATCTGTAAACCTCATCTGCACAATGAAAGCAGTGCAGGAATTCACTGCACTGCTTGGAGAGTCTTCAGAGCCCTGTGTGGAAATAGTTTGTGTTGAGTGGTTCCCATATCAAAAGCAAAAGTGTTTTTTCCTGTTTATTTGTGATGTGCTTGTGCACATGTCAGCAGTCACTGCTGAACACTGGACCAGCATCTGCTTTTTTGTCAAATTCCAACACATGCTAAGCACATGTACAGGCCATTTTACTTTATTGCTTTAGTTTGGGAAGGCATCATGCTGGAAAACTCTCGGTGCTATAACTGAGTGCCAGTAAAATTAAAAATATCAATTGTGGTCCAGCACTTCTGCTTCTGTCATTCAACCAGTGGGACAGATTTTACTAAATCAAAAGGATTGTAGTTTATCTTCTGAAAGAAAACTCAAGGTGATTTTTGTAGATCTGTCTGCTTTTGAGGGCATTATCTATATAGTAACTTTTTTAAAAATAAAATTCATCTTATTGTCTGTGCAGAAAAGACAAATGTGTATTTTCTTTTCTTTTTCCAACTCACAGGTGAACTTACTGAATTCTATCCATGACAACTTCCACCAGTAAGTTATGGTTATTTATCTCATAATAGTTGCAAAGAGTGGTAGAGTTGGTTGGGCAAATGGGAGTGGGCAGCAGTTATGGAAACTAAAAATTTCTTAGAAGATTTTATAGTCATAAACTGATTTATAGAATAGTTTATTAACTCTGTTTAAGCCAGTTTGGGGAATCACAGACTTGGAATTATGTAACTTTTATAGCAAACATATGTTTTCAATATCTGACTCTTTAGATGTGGAAATTCAGTCATAATTTTCCTGGATTTTTTTAAAGTATTTTCCTCCTTTTAGTGGAGTTGTGGTTATTACATTATGTACAAAACATTAGACTGGGACATGTTTCAGACATGTTTATTATAAACTACCTCTGTATTTGGAGATTTTGATATATTGTGGAGTCTGTGTAAAATTGTGGTTGGCTTGGAAGTTCATGGTCAAAGATCAGTGTGTGAATCAGCCAGTGTTTATTTTTCTCTAATGATTTCAAGGTCTAAAATAATGATTTGGAGGTCTAAAATGACTTCTAGGCTTTCCCTATTACAGTGTGAAATTGTACATTTGCTGTTCTCCTAGACCTCTATTCCCCTTCTTACTATTCACAACAGAGGCTTTGCTTAAAAAATTATGTTTTTATTTAGTTATTAGCAGTTGACCTCTGTACAGCACATGAGAGCAAGGAGCTGACTTGAGCTGACAGGAGCACACCTGTGATGAGCTCTGAGCTCTCTGTGCCCACCTCTTTGGCAGCTGATCAGCTTTAGTGTCAGTGGTACCAGTGATTAAAAGGATGAATTTTTACACAGAACACAAAGCAATGAGAACTTTAGACATGGGTGGATGTGCAAGACAGCAGCAGCTGAGACACAGTGTCCCACATTCCTGTCAGGTGTTCCATTTTCTCCTTTCCAGAGCCATGGCGTCGTCCGGATCTCGGGAGCAGTTTTTGCGGCAGATGGAGCAGATTGTGGAAGGCATCAAACAGAATCGAATGAAGGTCTGACTCCCCTCACTTTCTTGGCTAGAACCTGGGAATTATCTCAGCAAAGCCTCTTGGATCTTTCTATGCACAATTACTGTCCATTACATGAGGTGCAAATTAGGCAAGCAACTAAAAAGGATTATTTCTTTTCACTTTTGTCAGAAACTTCTCACCACTAAATGTCAATGAATAGAGTATGAGAGAGGTGTTGTAACACCTCTGTCCTGACAGGAATCTTATATCCCTCAACTTCATTACTGGCACTGTAGTGATTTAAATGCCTGAGACAACTGAATGCCACTGAAATCAGTGAGAACTCTTCCATTTGGACTGTGTGGGTGCAGTCAGACCTGCACCTCAGGCACGGTTTCTGACTGTGGGAGCTGATGGAAGCTTTCTGCTGCTGAAAAGGGTCAGCAGCACCTCAGAATCCCAACCATCTTGTGCCCTTTTCCCAGCTGCACCTACAGTGCCACTGATACTGAGACTTCAGCATTAGGCTCTTAATTTTTAAGAGCTGACCTAAATGTTCTCTGCATTTCAAGCACGAGCCAGGGCTATCATTTATGAAGTGTCTGTCTCCCCTAGTGTGTTACAGATAGCTGTTCCTTATGCACTGTGTCCATGTGTATCCCATACATCTGATCTCTTACCCTTCCTGCATGCCAACAGATGGAAAAGAAAAAGCAAGAAAACAAAATGAGAAGAGACCAATTGAATGATGAATACTTAGAGCTTCTAGAGAAACAGAGGCTTTACTTCAAAACAGTGAAAGAATTTAAAGAGGTAAGAACACTTTTGCTGCATTCAACTGTCATGTTCAGTGACCCATTTTGATGTATTTGTGCATTAACATATCCACAAGATTTCCTGATATGATGCTTATCACACCATGTTCATGATGTACCTTAGTTGTTTTCTCCATGTGAATCTTGGACTCTGAATTTGATTCTGGGAGTTCTTTCACTGCTAGATTGGCACCTCTTCATGTTACAGGGAGAGGTTATCAAGCAAGTATATTTAAGTTTTTTAAAGGTATATTTAGGTTTTCAAGTGGAATCTCCTGAAGGTCTGTGAGCAGTTAGTTATTGGAGCAAAGAGGGGTGTGGAAATGTGAGTGAATGAGGAGGAAATGCAGGATCTTGGTCATTAATCTTCAGGAACCAGCCTTGTTGCCTAATGATTGTGAAAGCACTGTATAACACTTCATTGATTTAGCCTTTCCCAAGCTTTTAATCATCATGGGCTTCTGTTACTTGCTGTCTCCATGAGAATGAATGAATGAATGAATGAAAAGGAATGCTGCAGGCCAAATTGTCATTTGGCTTCATATGTTTGAGGAAAAATATCTTTGTGTAATTATTCCTGCTTTGTTCTGAGACAGTTCCTTCCTGCTTCAGACAGAATGACAGGGGCTGTTCAGCTACTCTGACGTGCCAAATTTTACATCCTACTTGCAGAATTTAAGTAGATTTATTGTTAGGTTTTTTACCTATTTTCTTCCATTGCCATGTGAGGGAATTCCTGCTCAACTCTGCTACCCTTAAAAATAAAAAAGTCATGGTTGTGGTACTGAACACAGGTGTACTTGTGTGAATATATTTCCTGACTGAGAGTTGTTCCCTGAGCACTGACTCTTTTGCAAACTGTCCTGAGAAGTTCCAGATCACCTACAAGTAAGGCCCATTTCAGATTTATTCTACTTATAAGTAAAAAGCAAAATTTGCTTTAGCTACATCCGGAAACTTCAGGTGGGTGGTCAAGCAGTGTTCCTTCTGGCTTGCATGTCATAAATTTAATTAATATTGCCATTGGAATAACATTATGGATGAATCAATATTATCTTCACCTCATCACTCACTCCAGGCTGCTTTGGATTGTGGAGATGTTTCAAACTGAAAGAAAGGGTTTGGTTCTGTTGATGTGGAGATACAGGTGGCAGAGTTTGAGCAATTCCTCCTCACTTGTTTGCTCTCTGTTAACAGGAATGCCGTAAGAATGAGATGCTGCTGTCCAAGCTGAAAGCCAGTTCTTCCTGAAGAGCTCCAGCTGGGGAAATTTAGAGAAGATTGTTCAGTCCATTGAATCTCTTTTGGGAGGTGACAGTTATAACTGCAATGTAGATGTATATATATAGATATATATAAAAAATATATATACACACAGCTGTAAAAGTCTGGTTTTTCCAGTATGTGTTCAGTTTACATTCCCTCATCACATGGCTGTATTATTCATTATTGCCTCCACTACACAGTAAAGACTTAACACAGTACAGCAAAATAGAAATGTCTAATTTTATTTATTTGGGTTTGGGGTTCTTTTTTTCCTACAGTAAGGACAGTGGGAGTTTTTTTTTAATTTGGATTTTAACACTGAATTAAGTGAAAATTCTGGAATAAGTTTACATGTACTGTGTAATATGTCCACCACCCCATAGGATGAGCACTGCAGAATGCAGTACTTTGTTAATTTTGGCCCAAAAAACCCCTTCAAACTCACTTTTCCAGCTAATGACTTCACATTATTTTAGTTTATGCTCTAGCCATATATATAGGATTCCAGAGGATAACAATTAATTTCTAATGGCTAAGAAAATGAAAACTTACCTTGGATAATTCCTGGTGTAAAATTATAGATCTATATTTTTATAAAGTCTAGCTGTTGTATAAATTTCTTTGAAATTTCATTTTTATATATAGAGAGTGTGCTTGTAAAATTAATAGCTCCAGGAAACAAACACTTCAATACTAGGATCACCACGTTATCCCTGGCTGGGATGAAAATCAGAGTCTGTCACCTGTAATATAGGAAGATAAAGATTGAGACATTCTGCTCTAATGAACTGATGCTCACCTTTGAAGACAACAACCTACTTACCCTGCTGAAGACTTGCTCTTGAGAGTTCAGAAACTTTGTGGGACACTTTCTGAGACGTTTTTATATCTGTATATACAGTATTTTATAATTCAAACAGTTGCTTTTTGTACTTAACTCCAGGATTTTGGACTGGCTTCTTAATGTACATGACATCTTCAGGAGAAGAAGACCCACGTTCCTTTTCCCACTGACACTGATGACAGCACTGTTCAATTACTGTCTATGGCAGCAGATATAAAATAAAGGATGTTTGGAATCCAGTGGCATTCTGATATTGTGTTTTTAAGGTGGAACTTGCCTCAGAAGCTTTCCCAGGCTCCTGAATCACAAGTGCATTAAAAGATGAACTGTGTCCATAGTTAAATGAGTCACTGTGTTTGTGATGTCCTGCTCCTTCAGCACAAACAGAATGAAAACCTTCATTCAAACCTTGCTCCCCCCCACTGGTCAGTGAGGGAATAGATCTGGGCTGCTCCTCTTGGTTCAAAAAGTCAGTCTGCCCAGGACTGGCAAAATCACATTCCAAGTCCCTTCAAAGAAGGAAAAATTTACACTCGGCCTTCCTTCAAAGAAGGAAACCTGCACTGAGTGCTGCTTGCAGATTTTCTGCAGTCAGCTTCGATATAGAAGGCATTATATCTGTCTACAATTTGCCCTCTATAAAAACAATAGAAAGCTCATTCCAGTTTGTAAATTGAATAACTCAGCTTTGGCACCAAGGAGACCTGCTTGGGAATTCAAGTCGTGCTGTGTTTGTGTTCCATGCAACTCTAAAAAAATAACTGAATGGGTATTTCACTTTGGGATTTATCATTTTAATCACAATTGCTTTTTAGCATCAAGAAAAATTTCATAGGTCTGGTAAATAGTAGCGTAAATAATGAACTTGCATGTACAATAAATTATATGATTATTTTTTCAGTGTAATGTTAAAATTTATGCTTATCTGCTACAAACACAGTAACCTGGAAACTTCCACAAGGAATATAAAAATGTGAGATCCATTGCTCTGACTAGGATTTGTGTGATTTTGACTAAGATATAATTCTGAGGTTTGTAGAATGCAGTTATTGCTCACAAAGGATAAATCAGAGTCCAAATCATAACTCACTGCCTGCTGTAGATGGAGCCCAGGGCAGATGGCCACAACCTTTGGTGTGAGGCCCATGTGAAAAGGAGAAGAAAGGAGCAGGTGAGGGTGTGAAAACACTTCCATCAGTTGTTTTTGCTTTCTGGCACAGGCTCTGTGTGTTGGGTGCCATTTCTCCTCAGACCTGGGGAGGAACTGAGAGGAAGGAGAATCTGCCTCCATCTCAGCTGGTTGCAAGCAAGGAATTCTCAGAATTTTCCTTCAGTATTGCTGGATTTCCTTGTTGAAAGAGAAAGGTCTTGCCCTGAACTCATTTGCTGTTACCTTGTAAGGCTTGCAAAGTAACATTTACAGGACTGGCAGCAAAACCTAATTTCTTTGTTAGGGTTATTAGCATTGTCTGCTCACACTCATCTTCCAAAGCCCTTTCATTTCTGCACATCCTGGGTTCCCACAATGCAGCTGATGCAGGATTCTCAGAACCTTGCTGCAGGATGCAACTCTGCCCTTCTGTCAAACAATAGGGTTCAGTAAATTTTTCTGAGAGCAAATTCAGTGTCAGGAAATAAAATTTAAAACTAGTAGTCCACTGCTTACAAGCAGAGATGATTGGTGTACTCAAATTGGCAGCTTGTATTGGGGAAATAAATACACAGTATCTAAGCTGTGCCAAATTATGTCCCTTTAGAGTATTTGGGGTTTTTTTCTGTTTGGATAGTCAAGATATTATGTCATTAATCTTAGTTCACATGGCAGCATGCAGCAAGTTAGGCAGCAACCACTGATACATATTTTCTTTGCCCCACAGCAAGCTGTGATTAAACGCCAGAATTTTAAATCTCGAATCTGTGCTGCCACTCTTCTAAATGCAGTCTGCATTTAGAGCCAGTGTGGGAAGCTGATTTTGTTGAGAGCTTTCTAAATCCACTGCAATGAAATGAAAGCTCTGCTTGCCTCTCGCTGCCTCTGGGTGTGTGGGGAGGCCGGCTGTGTGAGCCCATCACTGTAACACTGCTGGCACAGAGGCTTGGGTGGACACAGCACTGCCTGCTGAGCTCCAGAGCTCCTCACAGCACAATCCCAGAGGCCCAGCCTCGCCTCCTAAGGGAGCTAAATCCATCCTTGAGGAGGAGGAGAGCTGTGCCAGTGCACTGTGCTGCAGGTCAGTGTCTGCAGCAGTGCCCTGCATGTGTGGCTGCAGGGACTGCACAGGGGCCTCGCAGCTCTGTGGTGTCCTCCAAGCTCCAGAGCCATGGCAGAAGTGCCTGCACAGCCTGTGCTGCCCCTGGAAGCTGGAGATCACTGCAGCCAGACTGGGATGAGCCAGGGCACCAGCACTGGCATTGGATTTGTGTGGCAGTGATGGCTTGGCTTACCAGCCTCAGGGACTACAGGCACTAAAATTTGTCCAAAACATGATTATTAGAAACTTCAGGAGTGCCACATGCAGAAGATTTGTGTGCTTTTCAACACCAGCTCAAGATGACCTCTGCATTTCCTCCTTCCATGTCATCTGTTTGCATTTTAAAGGTTTTAGAGCGGTGACTCTTACATGAAAAAAAATCAAGTGACTTGAAAAATTCATCAGTGGTTCTGAATGAGGCTGCAGGTTTTAGTAACATTCAGTCTCTTACATATGTGCCTTCCTTCTGGTTTAATTAAGCCTCCAAACTGGTTTGAATGGTAGCTACTCCATATGCAGGCAAGTTGAGAGTCACAAGGAAAAGTTATTTAAATCAGCATTTAAGTCTGAGTCACTGTCTAACAACTCTTTGAAATTCTAGTAATTAAAACTCCTGAATTCCCACTGAAATGGAGAGAAGCATCCTCTGCAGGAATGCAAGACACACAGGTGGCTGTGGGCACAGCAGGTCACACTGGACTGTCACAGCACTGCAGGTGTGAGGTACAGCACTGCCTGTGCTCCTGACATGCAGCCAAGCTCCCTTCAGCTTCCTGGGACTCTGTGCCATGCTAGAAATACTCAGAGATGTGTCAGCTCTCCCACTCAGAGCAGGGGAGGAAGTAAAACCCACCAGAGAGACAAATATGGAGCAAGATGGACTTGGCAGGATGCAAGGAAATAGATTATTTCTGTATATATTGTTGGGTCAGGGATGTTTGTCAGATCTTGGGAAAATGATTTCAGGCTTAGGTTTGAGTCTCTTTGGGTTTTGGGGAGTCTCTTACACCTGATGGCATCAAGCCTTTGTTACAATAGGAGAAAGTTGATGCCAGCTGACAAATTGTGGCCTTCACCCAGGTTGGGTGCTGAGCACATGGATGGTGCCAGGGCCTCAGGCTCTCACCCACCACTGCCAAGCAGCCACACATTGCTGCAGCACACCTGGCGTGACTGAGCACCCTGTGTGGAGTTTGAAACACAGATGCCTGCTCAGTTTATGGCAGCATGAAATAACCATTCACACAGCCCCCATTCACTTGGAGGTGTTGGTGTCTATCTTGAGCTCACCTGGGTTCCATAAAACAGGGAGAGTCTGAGCCTGGCAGAGTGAGAGAGGACAACACAAGTGAAAAATCCTCACGAGATCCTCCTGTGAGAACACATTCTCAGGGGCTCTGAATAATTCTGTGCTTGCCTCTTAAGTTTCACTTAAGCCCAGGGGACACAGGTGACCCCTGTCTGACCAAGTGTGCCCATCAAGCCCTGCTGCTTGCAGAGCACACAGCCCCTCAGTCGTGGCCGGTTGTGTGTCTGAGCTGGTCATCCTCTTTAATTTCACATCAACTCAAGGACTGATTGCCTGCAGCACGTTTATTCCCTCCCAAATAAATCTCAAACCCGAATCCAGCATCCTGTTCATATCACCAACATGTCAGTACTGCTCAGTTAGCAGCTCCCACGGTGCCTTTGCTAATGAGGAGAGCTCCGGCAGGGCCCCGGGGCTGGCTGGGCGGGATCAGCCGTGCCGGGTGTGCCAGCCGTGCCGGGTGTGCCAGCCGTGCCGGGCGGGATCAGCCGTGCTGGGTGTGCCAGCCGTGCCGGGTGTGCCAGCCGTGCCGGGCGGGATCAGCCGTGCTGGGTGTGCCAGCCGCGCTGGGTGTGACAGCCGTGCCGGGTGTGCCAGCCGTGCCGGGCGGGATCAGCCTTGCCGGGTGTGACAGCCGCGCTGGGCGGGATCAGCCGTGCCGGGTGTGCCAGCCGTGCCGGGTGTGCCAGCCGTGCCGGGTGTGACAGCCGTGCCGGGTGTGACAGCCGTGCCAGGTGTGCCAGCCGTGCTGGGTGTGACAGCCGTGCCGGGCGGGATCAGCCGTGCCGGGTGTGACAGCCGCGCTGGGCGGGATCAGCCACGCCGGGTGTGCCAGCCGTGCCGGGTGTGACAGCCGTGCTGGGTGTGACAGCCGCGCTGGGCGGGATCAGCCACGCCGGGTGTGCCAGCCGTGCCGGGTGTGCCAGCCGTGCCGGGTGTGACAGCCGTGCCGGGTGTGCCAGCCGTGCCGGGTGTGACAGCCGCGCTGGGTGTGACAGCCGTGCTGGGTGTGCCAGCCGTGCCGGGTGTGCCAGCCGTGCCGGGTGTGCCAGCCGTACTGGGTGTGACAGCCGTGCTGGGTGTGCCAGCCGTGCCGGGTGTGACAGCCGTGCTGGGTGTGCCAGCCGTGCCGGGTGTGACAGCCCTGGCACTGCACACACCTCACTCAGCCTGTGCCGATTGAAGAGCAGACGGGAGGCTGCTCCACCTTCCCCTGCTTCCACCTTCCCTGCCAAACACTGGCGTAGCACATCTGTATTTCTAAGGGGAGACTGTAAACTCTCAGTAGGTTTATATCCGGACATCTTCCACCTTCTTTTTCACTGCCGCTAAATCCTCTCAAGTAGCTCTTGTGCATGGTAACTGTTCATATCACAGGCATGTTTCCCTCAAGAAATCTATTATGCAATAATCGTTTTCTCCTCTGTGTCCCCTTTTATCTTTGCTTTACAAAAAGGTTCTTGAAGGCATTGTTGTAATTTTTGTTAAATGCTGTATAAATGAGAGGATTAAAGAAAGAATTTGAGTAGCCAAGCCAAAGAAAGATGCTTTTCCAGATGGGTGGGATGTTACAGGAACAGAGGGGACTTATTAATTCTGTGATGAAGAAAGGGATCCAGCACAGTACAAAAACTCCAATTAAGATGCCAACCATCAGAGCTGCTTTTTTGTCTTTCTGTTCTCTCCATGTTTCTCCATCTGTCTGGAAAGTGATAGCTGCACGACGAGCTGTAAACACCATCTGTGGTTCCTGCGAAGCTTCCTTCACCTCAAACAGAAGCAAACACAGTTTCTTACCAAGACAGTTTGTTTGAGTGAAGTATTTCTTTTAAATGACAGCACAACATCTGTGCACCTACCACAAAAGGCCTGGACTTCATTCCTTCCATGCTAAAAGAAAGAAAATGTCCCAGAGTGCCAAACTCATTACAATGGAAAAGCTGTCAAGTGTAGTTGACAAGCAGAGCTAAATAAAGAGGACCTGGTACCATGTGTGTTGTGGAACTCTTTTTCAATTTATTGTCTTGGATGCCTTCAAACCTAGGGGAAATGAGGTTGTTAAGGCAGGCAAACAAAGGCCTGTGTCTGCTGCCTATCCCTGCACCAGACTCATGCTGCCACGTGGCCTTCACACCTGCTCTAGGTGAATTGCTTCAGCAGGGCTTGCACCAGATCATCTCCAGAGCTCCCTCCCAAGTCCAACCATTCTGTGATTCTGTACTTTCTCAAAAAGTACACCATTGCCAGAAAAACACCATTTCAATTGACCTTCAGTTCAAACTCTGGCTTCAGTAGAGGTTATACAAGAGAGGAAAAAATTTCAGGTACTCCAGGCTGTCAACAGTGCTTCTTGTCTCCTCTCACTGAGGGCAAACAGCTTCTGGGCAGAATTTATTTGTGTGCTTTGAGTCTGACCAGATGAAGACACTCCTCAGAGATTTTAATCTGAAGATGGAAGTGTCTGTGATATTAAAGTTCTTCTAGGCACTACAGTTATGAAGAGAGTGCAATAAAAGTAACAGCTTTAAGCTGTTAAATTTGCCTGAGTGGTAATTCACAGGCACTCCAGATATGGGCCATTGTTAAATAAGCTACATATTGCACATGCATGTGCTGCCTCTGTAACAGAAGGAGAGCCTGTACTGAGTATGAGCACAGCAATTCAGACAGTGAAGCACTGCAGTGGCTGAACAATCCCTCTTCAGGATGGATGTCCCTGTCTGCACCCTCAGACACGAGCCAGGGCTGCAGAACGTAAGGGCAGCAGATTATGGGCACAGGCAAATAATGGAGGGAAATGAAAATCACATCTGTTCTGACAATTAAAATGAGACACCCCTCATGTAGCAAGGATCACACCATTTGTCTGCAGAAGGACTTGCTCTGCACGTCCTTAATCACACTCTGCAAAAAGGGATGAATGTATGACACGAGGACAAATCTGTGACAGCAACCCTGAAAGATGATGTCTCAGCCCTGAGGAGCAGTTACCTCAGTGCCTCTTGGGAACAGCCATACAAAGGACTTCCTCATGAGCACCAGGCACAGTTTGGTGCTGTAGTTAACCTTCAACTCTTGCTCAGAAGATGGAGCTTGCTGTGTGCCATCATCAAATCCCAAAATCAAATCAGAGCCTTCTCACTACTTCTGACTGCAGAATTTCCTAGCAGTGACCCTTCTGTCACTTAATTGCATATTGTAAGAAAAGGTTATTTCCTTTCCTTTGCTAGGAGATACCTCAGCCCTCAGATGTTTTCCACAATGAAGCTTGCATTTACAGCCTGGTCAAGCCCCTACTGAAGTCAGAGGAATTTTTATGAACTTCCATAGCTGTTAGGTCAGGCCTCTGAAAACAAAACAGCAAGTGAAACTAGATCATGGTACGTTTTGTAAATTATTAGATCATGGTATGTTTTGCAAATTACTGGCTAGAACTAAATGCAGCTCTAACTGTATCAAATCTGCAGTTGCCAGTGCCAGCCCCAGAGGCTTCTCATGACTCCAGTTTCCAATGTAAGTCCCAACAGCTGCCCTTTATCCCCATAGCACACAGAACAAGGGACAAGTACAGAACCTGTGCCCCCATTTTGGGTGTACTGATGCACTAGCAGGCAGGCTGTGACAGCAGAAGAGGTGGTCACAGAGTGTAAATCAGAGCAGTCCATGGAGATGCCTTGGGTTATGCTGGAGCCATCTCTGCAGTGCTGCACACTGCTCTCACTCAGTGTCCAGCAGCACACTCTGCCTCGGGCACAGATTTCCTTCCATCTGCCCGGGCACTGCTCCAGGAGCACTGGGGAAAGAGCTGGCATGAAAGGACTGCTCCTCTGAGGCCAGAATTTGGTTCAGAACTCGTGAAATCAGCTATTTCCAGGACAATGGGCTGTGAGAACTGCAGAGATAACTGCTGTTCTGTGAGACTAATAAAAAGTAAATGAAGGAAATGAGCTCAAGTACAAATCCTTCTACAGTCACAAAGGAGTTTGGTTGTAGTTCCAGAATTTATTCTTCTGTACACTGATCAGCAATTACAGTTCAATGCCTCTTCTCTTGTTTGTCTGTCCCCAGACAAATCCTAAATGGATACATGTTCCCAGAGCTGTGTGTTCCCAATTCCTGTGTTCCTAGAATGTCACAGAAAACATGCCACCAAGAAGCTTCTGACAAAATCCCTTGATTTAAAATGTTCCTTACAGCTTTAATGATTGCTATTAGTGATCCTTTGTGGCAGGTGCTCTGTGTGTGTCTGTCCTGCACCTGCAGGGCCTGCAATAACAAAACAACAGTAATGACAAACATCAATCAAACCTGCCTTAGCACCACAAATGTAGAGTTTTGCCTATCACAGTGTGGTGCAGCAAAGGTCATTGCTGCCTCAGTGCAGCCCTGGCACACTTAACTGCTCTTTGAACAAGAGCACAAGAAGATAACTGCACAACAAAGGATCAAAACAAAGAAAGGTCTACACTGTCTTGGATGCTCCACCAACATGACAAACAGCTCATTGGACAGGGAGAAGAACACCAGCTTTCTCTCTCAGGATTCTCTTCTGCTGTAAGCAGGACTAACTGTATTTCTCCTAGGAAATCACTACACATCCCACTTTGCTTCCTCCCTCACTCTTTTCTGAACATTTTTTGCACCTGTTCTGGACAGATGAACTTTGTTTCCTGACCCATCTCTTCTACTTGTGCAGAGGCACAAATAAGAAAAAAAGGGTCTGAGATCCCTTCAAAAAAGGAGAATCTGGGTTTTTTTCTCCCACATTGTCCTGACTGGTTAAGTGAGTTGGAGAAGCCGAATGGGTCAAGGTGCAGAACAACACAGCACCTCTGGAGCTCTGGGGCCTGATGTTATCCAAAGGGGGAAGGACTCTCACAAAACTCTAAGGTTTGGATCATGCCTAATGTTTTCATATACTATATAAGTACTTTGAGAGGGAAGAAATAAAAAAAAAAAAAGACAAAATAAAAAAGACCCAACAAAACCTTCACCAATCATCAACAGAACTTGATTTTTAACTCTTCACATGAAAATTTAAGACTGATTTTGCAATTGTTACATGTAAGTAATGCAGACATTCAGATCCCATCATCCTCATTTTGCTGGGCTATCCCTATGCCACAAGTGATTTCATTGATTTAAAAGGGAACTATCCAGCAGTATCTGCTGCTTTTCAAGCAGTCTCATTTATTTCAATTGCACTGTTTAGAAAGAGAATTATTGCCTGCTGTCAACCAGGTGTGACAGAGCATAGCTCTCTGTCACTGATGATATGTCACTAGGTTTTTAATGAGGGTCACCCACGTCAGTGTTGCCTGCAGAATTCACTTTTTAGGGAGTTTCATAATTGGCAAACCAAAAATTATAAAAGCACCAGTTTAATTTAGGATCCCAATTTGGCAATTATTTTATTTCAAAGGAGAGCAAAAACCAAGCTATCACTAAAACCAGAAGCATCTCAGATGTTTCACATCCATCTCCCTCACCTGAATTTTTTCAAAGGTTTTGAAAAGTATTTTTCAAAAACACAAGTAAAATTTTAACCAAAGAATGACTCAGAAGAGTTATTTTGTACCTATTCTATTCTGCAGATCTGTAAGAACATAAGGTATGCATGCCAACTCCCAATTTGAAAGGAATGCCCTTTCTCTGTGAAAAAAACAAAACCATTATATACATACACACACAAACATATATATATATATATATATATATATACAGGGAACCTGCAAAGCACTTTGGTGCCTGACTCTGCTGGCTGACAAACATCAATGTATCACCCTCACTGCTCCACTTGGTGCTCTGGTTTTTCCAAGACTCCCTTACTGGCACCCGAGTGCTATGAGCTCAGACCTTTTCTGTCCTTAGACTTACCAGAATTAACCAGCTGGTTGTACCTCAGGCCACCAAGTGCAGCCCTGCTGTGCAGTTCCAGCACCACCTGACAGCTCATTTCTGAGTGCAACACAGACATCTCTCCCAGCAGGGATCACTGCTGTTAGTGCTCACCTCCAGACTGGGAAGCACTGCCAGCCTTGGGCATCGTCTGCCAAAAACTCCCTGCTAATATTCCCCAGATCAGCTGGTGCAGGGCAGCCTGGAGTGAGGACTGGCATAGATGCAGAGGGGATTCACATCCAGAGTCACAGGGACAGAAGGAAAATGCTGCCAGGGTGAGCATGACAGGTGAGCATTCTCTGAGAATGGAGATGGAAGAAAGTAGAGGGAGGAGAGACATCAAGGGAGAAAGAATGGGAAAATCAGAATGAGCTGATGGGCAAAGCATGAGAAGCAGAGCAGAATTTGCCCCATCAGAGAGGACAGAGCTGATGCTCTGTCAAATCACCCTCGCAAAGTCTGGCAATGTTACCTTTGTGTTTGCATGTTAAAAAACAACAGGGTTTTGCCAAAGAACAGTAGTGATATGTGTGAAGATTCCCCTCCAGAATTCACTGGGGAACTGCTACTCTTCTTGTGAAAGTGATGGATGCTACTACCACAAGCTTAAAAAGGATCAGGATAACACTCAGTGAGTAAATCTCAGCATCTTAATTTAGAAAGAAAACAAGAAATGCATCCTGAATGCCAGCTTGCTTGATCCACGAGTTCATTACACATGTGCCCCATGAGCTCTTCCTTCAGGTGAAGAGTAAAGTTTGCATCTGAATCACAGAAGTCTTTTAATTTAAGTCAGCAAATGGAGCTGCTGGGACAATAGAGGAAGTTGCCACTACACGCCAATTGCAGACTCAATAATCCTTGTCAGGAGAAGTCAATCACAGTTGATATGTAAATCACACCAATGAGAAAGAAGACCTAGTGGCTTGAGCATCTGCTGGCATTGCAATATCCCCTCCAAAATGGGTGTGTGGCTCGCTGTGACAGAGCCCTTTTGCCAGTGCAGCCTAAACCAGCCCCCAGCCCTTGCATCACAAAAAGCACTCACCTGGCAGCCAAGCTCAGGGCCTCCTGCAGACAGAACCATGACATTTTGCAGCCAGACTCTGCCTTGCTGAAACTGTCATGTGATGTTGTCTCTCCACTGCCTCGAGCAGCAATGCCTCAGCTCGTTTCTCTTCCTGGAATTTTAGATTCCAGATAACTAGTCCTGTATGGGTATGTGTGTATGTAAAAGACAGAGCATGCAAACACACTACAAACAATCAGCTGGCTCTTGTGCTTGAAGAGATTATACATTAACTCCAAGCAATACTTTCATTGTACTTAAAACAATTTGGAGGAAATTTGGTGCAAACTAGGGGCTGAAGATCGTAGGGAAAAAAAATGTCACTAGAGGAGACATTCTCTACTTTTCTAACAAATTTTTTGCTTTTTCATAGAAGATAACTTCATAAATCAATGTATATTAGAAATAGCTTCAAGACATTATGATCCAAATCTGCAAGTCTAATCACACATAATTACCAGCACATTATGTAATTATTGCCACTGCAATTATGCAATTAACTGGGGACACAACCCACAGACTCTTACTTGTGACCATCATAATGAGCTTCCTTGCCTCCAAATCTAAGATAGGATTTTGCAGGGAATGAGGGTCTGCAGGATTAACCCCAATGGAACAGAAATGTTCTCTGTAGGTATCTCTAAGATCCACACAGCTCATCTCTGGCTACTGGGAAAGGATTTGGCTTAGGAAGTGCAACATATAATCACAAAAACAGAGAGGCTGGCAGGATTGAGAATAAGAGTGTGTGACAGCAAGCAGGGAAAGTTTACAGAGAGCACAGCCAAGCACAGTGGAGGTATGGAATGGGTGACAGCAGCATCATGCAGAGAGCCTGACTTATGGAGCACAAGCAGCCAACCCCAACCCTTCTGAAGGAACACAGCTTTCCTGTCAGCAAGGTGTATCCCTAAAATGAATGAGACCTCCCAAACAGCTAGGGCACTGCAGGGTTATAGGCAATCTTTGGGATAAGAACATGGTTTTGAAGCCAGCAGGTAATTTTAAACCAGAAACGATTGCTCATTGCTTCAACACTATGCAGTGAGCAGCATTCATGGAAAAACAGCCCAAGCACATCAATATATAAGTTTATATCGTGTATAGTGCTTAATTTGCTTACCAGAATGTATTCAGACACACAAAGCCTGTGCTGGTAGAAAAATGTGCATTTATCTTGGTACAGGACCTGGGGATCTGTTTGTCTTTTTTTAGACAAATCAATGCTTATTTTGGTTTTGCTAGAACTTTGGTTTCCCCCACCACTGCTTTAGAAAACATAAAGAGGAAAAAAACCCATACCCAAGGAATGGCAAATTCAGAACAAACAGACAATTTTCAAACATCTCTCCCGACTAGCAGTGAGTGCATCTGTCCCTTACTCTTATAACACAAGGAAAAAATGAGAACAAAGCTCTTCTCCAGGAGCTGCACTTTTTGACTGGCTAATTGATGCTCACGTCCAGTCCGTGACAAACTCAAACACACAGGGAACCCCAGGGCACCTCGCAGCCTTCTGGCTGCGGTGAGGCCCGGAGCTGAGGAGAAGCAGGAGCGCAGGGCCCGGGGGAGCAGCGAGGGTTCCCTCCCCTTGCCCGGCCTTACCTGGGCAGCCTCGGGCAGCGGCAGCACGGCGTTCCTCCTGCGGGCCCCCATGTGCAACTTGGACGCCTTATAGATCTTCCAGTAGACGAAGAGCACCACGCAGAGGGGCAGGTAGAAGGCTCCGCCCGTGGAGACGATGGTGTAGGACGGCTCCTGGCTGAGCTGGCAGCGCTCCTGCTCGGGGCTGTAGGTCTCGCCCCAGCCCAGCAGCGGGGCAAGGGAGATGGCGGCGGACAGCAGCCAGGTGAGAGCGATCATCACGTTGGAGATGCGGCGGCGGGCGAGCAGCGTGTACTGCAGCTGCCGGGTGACGGACCAGTAGCGGTCCAGGGCGATGGCCGTCACGTTCCAGATGCTGGCCGTGCAGCACAGCATGTCGAAGCACACCCACACGAGGCACAGCTCCCGGCCCAGCCGCCAGCGCCGCTCGGCCGACAGCTCCTTCACCAGGCTCAGCGGCATCACCAGGGCCGCCACCAGCACGTCCGACACCGCCGTGGAGGCCACCAGGTTGTGGGGCACCCGGTGGAAGGCCTTCACTCGCAGGATGGTCGCCAGCACGAGCAGGTTCCAGAGGAAGGTGGCCACTGTCAGGAGCACCAGCAGGGTGAGGATGAGGACGGTGAAGATGGAGAAGGGCTCCCGGCCCCTCCACGCGCTGCCGCCCACCACCGAGGAGGAGGCGTTGGCGTCAACGTTGGCAGACGAGGTATTGGCGCCCATGCTGGGCTGGCACTGGCCCCGTGGGGAGCAGGGGCTCAGGGACTCCGCCATGCCCGGGATCAGGGCTCGACCCCTCACCGCTGCCCCTTCCCAAGCCGCCGGTACCGTCCCCAGCCCCGCTGCCGGAGAGCGGGAGCCCCACACCGGGACGCGCCTCCGCTCAGCGGCCGCCCCACATGTGCCGCCGCACCAGCGCTGCCTGCGGCTCCCGCCCGCGCCCGCCGCCCCGCACGCCCATCCCGGGCGACTGGAGAAGGGAGGGAGGCTGGAAAGGGAGGGAGGCTGGAGAAGGGACGGAAGCACGGCGAGGCTCCGGCATGGGCAGCGCGGGCGGGCGCGCAGGCGGCACCACCGCTGCCGCCCCGCCCCAGCGGCCGCCTCAGGGGCGGCGGCGCGGCCGGGCCGTGTGGGGCGGGAGGCGGCGCGTCCCCGGCTGCTGCCCGCGGCCCCGTGAGGGCTGAAACGCGCGCTGCTCCCGGGATATCCGAGCTGCCGGGGCTGGAAGGAACCTCTGGGGATCACCCCGTCCCACCGCCCTGCCCGGGCAAGGTCACTTCAGGCAGGAACGCATCCAGGTGGGTTTGGGATGTCTCCGGAGAGGGAGACTCCACGCCCTCCCCGGGCAGCTTTTAGTGCGCTGCCACCCTCAGTGTGAAGAAGTTCTTCCTCATGTTGAGGTTTAACTTCTTGTGTTTTAGTTTTTCAGTGGTGTCGCTGGGCACCACTGAAAAGAGTCTGGCACCATGCTCTTTGCACCTGCCCTTGAGATCCTAATGTGCATTAATGAGATCCCCTCTCTGTCCTGTCTTCTCCACACTAACCAGGCCCAGCTCTCACAGTCTCTCCTCTTAAAAGAGATGCTCCAGACCTCCCCATGACCTTTGTGGCCTCTGCTGGACCCTCTCCAGTAGCTCCTTGCCTTTCTTGTACAGAGGAGCCCTGATTTGGACACAGTGCTCAGATGTGGCCTCACCAGGACCAAGCTGACAGCAATAGTCTGTGTCCCCACAGCCCCAGGTGGTGACAGGACATCCCCTTCTCCCCATGGACCCCATGAGGCTACAGGACACCCTCTTCTCTTCACAGCCCTTTCCTGCCATGTTCCCTCAGTGCTCCCACCAACCATTTCATTGCTCTTAAAATAAACAATCAAATATGTGACCAAGAGCTTGGAGATGGACAATAGAATTAGCAGTGAATACAAGGGAATGTCATATTTCCTTTCTGGATGTTTGGTGCTTTGTGGCGCTTTTGAGAAGTCTGAGGGATGCAAAACACAAAAGGATGGAAAATAGCAATCTCTTGTAAGTCTAAATATTTCACATCTTCCTTTGCATCTGTTCTCACTTTTCCCTGTTGACCTGAGAATTGATGAGATAAGGACTTGTGACAGAAGGGGAGGAATTGTAAAACATATTTCCTAGTCCTCATCACTTCACCAAACATCACTTCAGGACTCAATCTTTAACTGAATCTTTTTGGACTCAGTCTTGTCATAATATTTCTTTCTGTCAGTCTGAAAGTTCTTAACTTGGCTTAGCCCTCCCTGCATCCTTGTAATTCGTGTCCAAGCTCCCCTGTGCTGAGCTGTGTGAGGAGGTGTCTGTGCTCCCCAGGGAGCAGCTGCCCAGGCCAGCACTGTCACATCATTTCCAAGCACTTCCAAGGACAGCACACAGCTTAGTAACAGCTCTGGAGGGTGATGATTCATCCAGAGATAACAGAATTCCAGCCCATTTTGTGAAGTGATGCTCTATTTTTAGCAAATATATAAAATTTAATGTTACATTTTCCAGAAGTCTGTTTTTATCCATTACAGGCAGATTATTTTTAGACCATTATAAAGGGACTGCACTGAACTTGACTCTTTACATATTTTCCATTTTTTGTTTTAGATTCAGAAGTGCTAAAAAAGGTTTTAGCAGATGCAGTTTTATTCCATCCTCTTTAGTAGAAAATCAGCCCCCTTTCTAAAGCATTTTTAAGAAAAGTCAGTTATATAAATCCTGCAATTGATTTGAGAAATCTACAGAAAATTTCAGCTCAAGACAAAAAACAAGCCTTCCAAAGTCCTTTGATGGTTGGTTCCATACTTTCACGATTGAAAATGTGATGGAGAATCTAGATGTCACATAGATGCCAGGCAGTATTGATTTTATTAATAATGAAAACATTCATAGGTGATTGCAGCCACTCACAAAGGAGCCCACAAAGCCCTGGGTGTCTCAGCATCTTTAGCTGACAGCCACAATAGAGAGGAGAATTTGCAAGTTTTGTAACTGTTATACAAGATTTTGCAGAGCCTACAATTTTCCTTTTTTTTTTCTTTAAATTCTGACCAACTGGGAAAAAATAGTAGATGGTTATGTTTTCAGTGTTGCACAGTCTGGAAGATGGACTGCTCTTGAGGAGTATGCTAAGGTTTTGGGGTTGTTTTTGAAAAGTGGATGCAGTTCTTAAGCTGGATGACACCCATATAGCAAAGTGAATGTGTTTCCAGACAGGACCCTGATTTTCCATTTGTCTTCCCTTCTCCTAATGGCATCTTTCCTCCACCTCTCCTCACAACTCCATATCAAAAGTTTATCGTGGTGGCTAAGAGGAAAAGCCAAAAGCAATCTCTTCCCCACATGGCTGTGCAATAAAGAGATTTGACAGAAGCAACATCATGGTATTTATGACTTTGATGCAAGCCAGCACATTTTTTAGCAGCTAAGAGCATTCCAGCTCAAGAGGCTGGATTCTCATTGTCAGGGTTTAACACCTTCTATAAATCTAAAAGCATCAGACAAACAAAAGCCTCAGTAAGCATTGCATGAATTCTAAAATCCTGAGAAAATCAAGCCAATAGAGCAAAAGCCAGGAGCAGTGAGAGACTTTATTCTGTATGCTTAGCCCCTTGATTACAGGCTTCTTTCAGCATTACTTTAAATTTGAAAAAATTAAAAACCCAAACCCAGCAACCAAACCCAGCAACCAACCCACCTTTCAAGGGCTAACAACTGGCTCTTTTCTGGCTGTTTTCAGGGCTCTGTAAAATCCCTTCTAAGTTTTGGGCACTTGAAGTGACTGGACAGTGATCTCCCAAGCAGGGCAGTGGTAGAACTAAAACCCAAAGTCACAGACCTGTGCAGTATCCTGTCAGCACCATGTCTTCCTTCACTGTGGGACTTCCACTAGAATATTATTTTTTAAATCACACAGGCCTTTTCACCCTTCCTGTGAGTTGCTTTCCCTGGTTGAAAGCAAATCATCAGAGCTTTGGTAGCTTACTTAAATTGAGTTGTCAAGTCATACATCAATCACAAAGGCTGATTACTGCAAAAATATAAACACAATTCTTATTTACAGCAGACCTCAGTAGATATCTTACTGAATTCTCAACTACTCTTGCTCTGCAGTGTCAATAAAGGTGCCTTCTACCTGTGACATTCACCCTGACAAATTTGATGGCAACCCTTTCTGACCAGCATTGTGCTTGTCTGTCACTCTGCAGCTTTATGGCACAGGAAACTCAGCTCATGACAAGATTTTTCACAATTATGAGCAGTAACTCGGTGGCAGAGTGCTCCTTTATGGGCCTGTTCCAGGAACTGTCAGAAACATCTTCCAGTTCAAGCAGCAGAGTTTTGATCACCCCCTTAAGTGGTTGAAAGAGCCCAATTTCTTTGTCAAGGTTCTCAGAGGAAGAAAGCAATTTCTCAGTCCCTGAGCCATTGGTCACTGCTATGAGCCAAGCCTTGAGAGCCTGAGGGCTGAGGTCTATTAACTGCACACAAGACTGATAACAGGGGAAGCTGCAAAGGAAACCTTAGAATGCCAGTTTGACAATCTTTTGCACTTCTTGCAATACCATGGTGGAACAGATGCTGCCCAGTACACAGATATTTCATCAGAAACTGTTTGTCATTTACGATTTCATAAACAAACCAAAAGGTAATTGCAGCTGCACTGGACAGGAAGCTTTTGATTCCCATTAAGTGTCAGCTCATGAATTTCTGTTATCAGGAAAATAGAGATGACTTAGTAGCTACTACAGGCAGGGTAGCATTACACCTCTGTGTTCAGTAACAGTGTTAGCTTTTTTCTCCTTCAGTGTAAGCTACTATTACTCTAGAGCAATAACATCCAGCCCTTCCATCTCCTACAGAAGCTTGTTTCAAAGATTTCTTTGTGTTAGAAAATTAGGAAAATACAACCCAAGTATCACAGGGAGGAGTTGTGCAAGCTCTTTCTCAGTTTTCCATGTACCTGACTTTACAAGTGGCAGAATTTTGATGCACTTTTAGGCCCAACCAGTTCTGGCCATGAGCGTGTGGTCAGAGGTGGTCACTGACTCCATATCCCAAGTTTTTCCTATTCCAAACCAATACTCCACTACTGCAGCCACTGCTCACACCCACATAACCACACTCTGATCTTCACACTGGTTTACTGCAGCTTTGCTTACATCTCTTTCCCAGTAATTAATTTTGCAGTTCATCTAATGAGTCCCTCAGCGTTTCTTTTGATTTAATGAAAGGTAATTCCCACACAGTAACTGCACAGCTGGCAGGTATAAACAGAAGCCTTAAACTGTATCATGATGTAGGTCTCAGAGAGAACTCCTAGGATGTGCAAACAATGAAAATAAAATTAAATTAATGACATGGAAATTAGTTGGACATCTATTATTTATAAATTTTTAAGAAAACCCAGAATCAAAGATTAGAACTCAATGAGACAGGCATCATATTTAGCACTGCTTACACTTCAGAGAAGATTTTGCTATTTCATTGCAAGCCTAGAAGCACAAGACATTCAAATTCTAGTAACAGAATTATTTTGACATAAAAAATCTTAAAAGCCCATTAGGGTCTAAAGTCAGCCATTTCAAGAGAGGGAAAACCAGACAATGCTCAGTTCTGAATGGTGGAAGCATTAGAAACAGAATAGTCCTGATATTTCTCCCCATCTGCTTTCCCCAAGGATGAAAAGAAAGTTCACTGATTTTTTTTAAAAATTACTTCAATGCATGTATCAGTTTTAAATCTGACATGCTACCTCTGAAGACCTAAGAAATAACAGTCCAATTTATACTGGAATAACTACTTATGCTTTGTATTTGTAACTGCTCCTGGGTTACATTTAAAATGTAATTAAAAGCCGTTTTACTGTTATCACAGACAGCCCACATTTCTGGATCTTGTGACATTTTAGTCCTTCCTTGACACATGAACACTTTTTAAACACTTCTCAACACCACTGTAGCCTCTAAGAGCAGTTACCACTGCTAAAATGGCAGAGATGGAAATAATATCTGTAATACAATTACTTTTTTACCCAACTTATGTATTCTTGTACTGAAGCCTCCACATTTTCCTGTCTGCAATGTGTATTCCACCCTCTTCCATTTCAGTTTTTGTATTCCTCCTTCAAAATACCCTTCTAGAATATTTATACCCCATTGCACTTTTTCACTTACTGAATGTCTCCACCCCCCAGTCCTGTGGCAGTATCTTTGACTTTGCTCATTGCTGATCTGATACTAAGACTTGAAAGCAATTCACTTTTGTAATTTACAAGACACAACTGCAGAACTTCTCACTGCATCAAGGTTATGAAGCATCTTTAAAAAACTACCTCAGTTGAGAGCTTAAATTTATCTGCTTTCCTTAATTATTTGCAGAGTACACTAGACATCCCCAGATTAATAAATTCAGATGTAAACATGAAGGAAAACCAAGTATTTCAGTACAGTGTTACCATTAGATCACATTTAACCAGTATTAATCATGTATCAGAACTGATGTAAGAGATTTGTTTTATTTTGGACACTGTAGTTGTTATACAGATACCATGTCTGAAATTATTCACAAGCTCATACAGCCTTAATTATTCATCCATGGTTCAGTAATCCATATTCTTCAGCATATTTGATGGCCAAAGCAGAGTTCTGTAGCATTAAAATCCCTTGCAATGATTCATGTGAGCAAAACCTTTTTACCTCACAATGTCCTCATGTTGTCCACTCTTAACAATTTTCAGAGGTATGCATACAAAGAAGGGTAAATGTAAAGCAAATTCTTCTATAAAACCTAAAGGTATTCTCTGTTTCTTTAATAAAAATCTCTGTAGTATTGACCTCAGGTAATTTAAATGATCTTCTTCCTTACAACCAGCATGGCAAAATTCTCTGGCCATATTCTCCTTTAGCCACAGTTCTGAAGAGTCTTCCTGAAGGGAAAAATAAAAGATGTTCCAAGAAAAGAAAAAAATCCTTAAAGAGACCTAAAAATGGGAAAGGAGCTGTTTAAATTAGAAGTAACTGGCAGATGGTTTTGATCAAGGTAGGCTACCCCAAGGCATTTAATAACCAGAATTAACGAGAAAATTGCCGATTGTCGGATTTCTTGCTGATGTGTTTGAAGATTTTTGCTTTGTGGACACTCTTTGATTTCTGGTAGCCAAATCCCCCACCTCCACCTCTCTTCTGTAGTCTTCTGCCATGGTTGCTGTTCACATCTGAAATTTCATTGGTTAAAGAATTTAAAACGGAGTTATTTGAAATATTGCATTTTGGGTTTACTAAGGGTTATTGATGTGAGAAAAAACAGAGAAAAAGTAGAGCTGCCTAATTACAGAGAAAGCCAGAACTTTGTGCCTGTGGTTCTAAATACTCCTCCAACTGCCCAATTAAGCTGTCCAATGTACTACTGCTTCAAATTCCATCCACTGTCAACTTTTAATTTAGATTCAGTCTTCTAGTTCCTGCTCTTGCCCCTCTATGCCAATATTCCATGACTAAGAAACTTAAGCAAGTATATTTCAATGAAAATTATTTTTCATGGAGAAGAACAATACTTTGGAACATGGATGCATTCCAGTCTGCCCAACAGCAATTAAAGCCTGTACAGCATGAACATGTGCTAAAAGAGATGCTTGTAGGCATTTTTGCAGTTAATATTTACATTTTCTTTGAGAAAGTGCTGCTGGAGCATGATGCATTTTTATGGTTATTAGCAGAAAAACTCCAACCCCAACAATACAACAGCAGAACTTGAGTATTACAACAACCTGAGGAGGTTGCTGGGGTGAGAGAAGGATGAGAATCTTGTTTGATGATCAGAAGGCTGGATTTATTGATATATGATATATAACACATTATAATTATACTAAAAAGAATAAGAAGAGAAGTTGCAGAGCTGCTAAGCTAAGAATAGAATAGAAAAGAATCTAAAAACAAGAGAGTTCTCTGTCACTGTCTTCCAGAGAGCTTGCCCTGTGATTGGCCCTTAATTGTACACATGGAACATGAACCAATCACAGGTGCATCCTATTGCATTCCACAGCAGCTGATAATCATTGTTTACATTCTTCTTCTGGGGCCTTTGCTTCCCAGAAGATGCACAAATCCCAAAGAAAGGATTTCTGTGAAAAAGTGTCTGCGACACTTGAGGTACCACAGGAATTCAGCAAGTGGCACTGAACATTTATAACCCAGAAACTCAGCTTTGAAACACTGCAGTGAAAGGATACTGAGGTCAACAAACGGAGGAACTTTAAAACCAAAGGAAAGGCAGACTTTGGGAAGATCCAAGTTATTGACATCGTAGATCTGCTTCAGAGAATGGGAGTCATAAGCTCTGATGTAAGCTTTGTAAGCCTCCTGGGCTGACTTGTGAAGGAAGTAGTTCTTCTCTATCAGTTTTTCCAGCTGGTGAGGGGAAAATAAAACCATAAGAGACATAAACAATTGTAGCTGTTAAAAGTCTATACATTATATTCAGACTATTTTAAACAGTATTAGTGCCAATGACATTCACTCCTCACTTCAGCAAAATTGCCCTGTGACATCAAAGTGCATATTCAGGAGTAAAAATGCTTTTATAAACAAATAGAGGGACAAAAAAAATCCTGAAGTAGAGTACAAACAAAGCCTCAGCAATATGAAAATTTACAGAAATATTAAACTGGGTAGTCCCAAACAAGTGAATCAAGGACAATACACCTGCAGCCACACCACAAAACCCTGTGTATGAGAACTGCCAGCCTGACATCCGAATTGTGTCATTCCATGCAATTCCATGTACAGTCTGATCTATCATGGTGCCAATACATTGTGAAATCAGCAGTATTAATTCTAAACCAAAAATGCAGATACACCAGGTAAACTATCATTTTATTTGCTGTGGACCAAGTTCCCAATGCTCACTAGATCCCAGTGTTTCATTTGATGTTTAATGTACATTAACTCAGCATTCTAAAACTAAGTTACATTAGGCACCACTTCTTCCTGATTATGCTTAATTAGGAACCTCTCTCTGTAAGGACTGCTTTCACTGCTTCCTGTACTTGCTATTTTAAATTCAAGTTACTACAAAGAAATTTTACAGGACTCTTATCAAAAGAATGATTCACAGAAGTAGTCAACAATAGAAACTCACTTCTTCAGAATTATCTATGCTATTCCCCTCACTTTGTGTTCTTTGGCTATTTTTGTAGCTCAGAGCACAAAATAATTTTAGCTGATGTTGGGCTTTATTAACACCAGATAATTAAAAATACACATAGGCTTATATACTAACATTCTTAAAGAAGCACACATATTTTTGATTTGTAGTCATTATAGGCTGCAACATTCTCCATGCAAATTATAATAAAGATATTCAAAGTAGCTGAAGTATAAAAACATGTCATACCTGAGACTGAATGTCTGAGATTTTTGACCAAGAAAATTCAAATTCACTTAGTGGTACCTTAAAAACAGAAGAAATGAAGTATCAACATTATTTACACTGTGTAAATACAGTGAATGTGTTTTAAGACCAAGGACAAATAGAAAACAATCTGCTAGATAACAGATTTTTTAATACCACAGCTGTATCTGGAAAGTGCCTTTACATCAATATGACAGTATTATCACTTCCTTTAAGCCAGAGTAATAGAGACACTCAGTATGACACCATTCTTTACCACTTTTGCTTTAGAAGTTAAATCACTTTAATTAAAGTCACAAAACAAGTCCATAAGGAGAGCAGTGAAGCAGCTCTGTGCAGTTGTGTTAAAATGATTACCTTTAAAAGAAGACTGCTCTTCTTTTGGAATTAAACACAATGAAACTGATCGTTGAAAAACCAAACCAAACCAAACCAAACCAAACCCAAACCAAACCCAAACCAAACAAAAACCAGCAAGTTCAGCAAGTTTTGCCTTTAAAAATTGTCAGAAGTTTACCCTGGCTTGTTTCAGGTAACGAAGGAAGCCCAGTTCTTCTGGTCTCAAGATGAGCAGAGCGTGTCCTCTCCCATTTATCCCTCTGGCAGTCCTACCAACACGATGGATATATTCCTTTGGGAAAGAGTGACAGACAACAAGGTCAGGCAGTCCTAATCATCAACAAAAAAACCACCAGAGTTAACCTCAATATAATGTAATGCAGCATTCACTATTTGGTAAGACTTTTTCTTGGCACTGACACATGGATATGGGAAAATAAATGCTGAAGGTGCAACATCAGGATGAGGCAGAGCCCCTGACTAAAGCATTTTGTCTTTTACTGAAGAAAAAAAAATCTTAGTCCACAGTAACTGAAAATTAATCCTTGATTTTAGAGATGTTTGAATTTCCTTTGTTTACAGTAGACTTTTATTCAAGTAAGAATATTTTAAACAACAAGCAAATTTCAACTGGAAAAGCTCAAGGATGCATATGTAAACTCATCCTCCTATTGAGAAGTGTTTGGCTCTTTAGCTGACTAGATTTTAATTTCACAGCACAAATATTTTAAAATGCAATTCTTAAGAAGGCAACCAAGGTCCTGGCTAGGAGCAGCATTTCCTAGGAGCTGGTGTAGGGCAGTGAAAGAAACCAGCAGCTGGATATGGCCACGGCTGAATCCTGCCCTCTGTCAAGCAGCAGGTTCAGCTCTTCTCTGACTAAGTTTGTAGTCAGAATTTGATTTCTTGCTGTGCCACTTGCCTATTGCCCTAACCTACCTTTGGATCATCTGGAGGGTCATACTGGACAATCCAGTCAACCTCAGGAATGTCCAATCCTCTGGCAGCCACATCAGTGCACAGCAGTATCCCAGACTCTGCATTACAGAACTGGAAAAACGTTGTCGTACGTTTGGTCTGTTTCTGCTTGCCCTGAAAGGAAACAAACACACTGGGGATGAAATATCAACTCAAAAAGTAATTTGAGACATCTTTCCAAACCATACTTTTGTACAGACCAAGCAGGACCGTTTGCAGTGAAGAAACAAAGAAAAAAATAAACCGGCATCCTTCAGAGGTTACAACGTATCTCCCAAAACATTAAAAATTGTATAAACATTATTCTCATGAGCACAACATGCATGTTTCAAGTTCAGAAAAAGGACATTTGCAAGTCTAGCACTATGTTAGACAGATTACAGGTTATAAAAGCAAACAACCAAACAAAACTGACACTTGTCACAGTTCTATCAAAGAATAGCAAGACATTTCCCCCTAAAACAAAATAAAGAAGGACATTTGTAATCACAAATTAGTTGAAATAGTTGCAACTGTTTCATAGACTTTCAGTCAATTCTTTGTTCTAAACTGTGCATTTTGTGGTTTTGACAAAAAATTTACAATGCTCATCCAAATGGTAAGAACTGGCATAATAAATGCAAACATAACCCCAGCCTTATAAAAAGCATCAAACACTTCAGGCATCAGACTCTGGATTGCTCTGACAAGGAATTCACTCCACACACTGAATTTTAGTGTTTGTGAAAGGTAACTTCTCGGAAGGAAACAAAAATGTTGCTACACAGAGAGCATAAATTAGTATTAGTGTTCAGCACTGATTCAAAAAATAGCAAGTCTGATTACTGAAGTGTTATTATATAATCTTTGCTTCATCTCCTTCATCTACAGACTAATCAACACTATCATCAGTTTTATGAGCAGGCTGTTTATTAGAAACTGGACTGAAATAAACCAGCAAATGTAAAGCCAGTAACAGCTTACAGATGTTATCAGAATACTTCAAAATAAATCAATGAATAAGACACTTACATGAATGGCCAAAACAGGCAGATCAATGTAGTTGAGTAATTCATAGTGGTACTTCACTGACATACATGAAGAAAAAAACACCATCAGTTTCTTCTTCCGGTTCTTCTTGAGAAATGTGAAGAGCAAAAGGAATCTTTTTTCAGATGGACAGACCACATAACCCTGCAAAAATTGTAAACATCGTTAAATAAAAGTAGTAAGGAGCAAGCTTGTGTTTTAGGAACACAGTTACATCAGGGAAGGGCTACTTTGTGAAAAAAACCTCACCAAACAGTTACACATCTGAAACATCCCAGGTAAAAAAACCACAGAGGTTGGTTGGTGTGTTCAGAGATCTGAAGCCTCTCACTGTTTGTCTTACCTGCTCCAGACCATCTACAGTTGCTGTCTCCTTGTTATCATCAACTCCAACATACAGGGGCTCTTTCTTCAGAGAGATCTTGGCCAGATCTTCCACCTTTCTGGTTTGTGTGGCAGAGAAAAGCATCGTCTGTCTGCGCTCTGGAAAACATTTGAAAGGCAGCCTCACTTTTTAAAGAATAATTCAAATAGTGATTCTGTAAAATCTGACTGCAAACTTCCCTGGGTAAATCTTCCAACTAAATTCTAATTCAAACATACTGCTACTGACAAAGAAAGAGGTGTGGTTGTATTATGGGGTGTACACCATGCTTATTTCATCTGTCCCCACCCCCAAAATCCTAACTGCTATCAAAACACGGTGTTCTTTCTCTGTAAAAATGTTAATAATCATTTGCAATCTAATTCAGACACAAAAAACCCCCCGAGATCAAACTTCTAATTCTAAATTAATTTCCACGAATACTACAATATTTTTGCTTGAAAAAACGATTCAAATTGTGTTTAATACATCAATTACAAGGAATAGTTGAATGAAAAATCAGGAAATGAAAAATTAGGAAAAGAAAAATTTAAGGTAAATACTTAAAACTTCCTCCAGATACTGGTCTTGGAGGTATCAAAAAAGATTGAACTGTAAGTCAGAAGCCCTTTTTCCTTGAATTTAAACCTTATTAGGAAATAATGAATTGCAGGAAATAAACAGGCAAAGGAAGATGAATGAGAAAATGGAAATATTAAACTTAAAGGATTTTATATGAACAGAATTATATCTCTGAGGAGCATTTGAAAACTCTGTTCTTCAGATAAATGATGTTGAATAAGTAATATATACTGGCTAGCAGAACAAAAGAATAGAGTAAGAAAACCACTATGAAGTTCATTTACAGAACCATAAAAATTAATAACTTCTCCTATAATAATAGAGTCAGAAAGAAGACATAATGTTAGTCAAGTGATTTCCAGGAAAGAAAGATTATTTTTTCTTACTTGGTAAAAGTTTTATGATCTGTTTCATTTCTTCTTCAAATCCAACCTCCAAGATTCGATCTGCCTCATCAATTACCAAACACTGCAAGTTCTTGTACATGAAACCTGGAGTGTTCTAAAAGATTAACAAACTCACAGTCACACAGGGAAAGGAATTTTATCCTGTTTTAACAACCAGATTAAACATCAATATTGTATCTACCTGCATATGATCCAGCAGTCTTCCTGGTGTGGCTACAATGATATTGATTCCATTTCCAAGCTTCTGTGCTTCTGCTGATCTGTTACTGCCTCCCATTATCAGACCATAGGTATGGACATGATGATTCATGAGTTCCTTAAGAACTCCATAGGTCTGCATAGCCAGCTCTCGGGTAGGAGAAAGAATAATAACACCTGTTCCTAAAAAACACACCAACCAGAGAGTCACTCACAACTCATCCAACCCCCTAAATGGCTGCTTTGCAGTAAAATTCAGCTGTGAAATGAAGTCTTACCATTCCTAGGCATGAATTTCAGCTTGTAGATGAGCTCTACTGCAGGAATGAGAAACGCGAGTGTTTTTCCACTGCCTGTTTTTGCAGCTGCTAAAATATCCCTGTAAGCAGCAATAGAAAAAGAAGTTTTTAGTTGACCATACCAAGAGAAGAGCAATCTCACTCTGATCCATGCTGACAATGTAAAAAACTAACATGGCTTTAAGAAGACCAGTGGAGTTGGTAGTAGGAGCTTGCTGGCAGAGGCAGGTCACAGCAATCAGCCAGTGAAAGGCCCTCAATGACCATGGAGGTCTTTTCCAACCTTAATGATACCACGATTTGATTTTATGATTCATGTATGTAGCTTGCCAGCAAAATTTACAAAGCATCTGTGCTCATCAGAGTGACTAAAAAGCCCTATTTCTTACCTGCCTTCCAGAAGGGGTTTAATACTTTTATGTTGAATTTCAGTCATGTGTGTAAACCCCATGTCGTTTATGCCTTTCAATGTATTCTCACTGACACAGCCAGCCAGGGAAGCAAAGGAATTGTCTTCAAAAGCACCTGAAGTGAGGGGTAAAATGAAAAATATTTAAACTTATTTATTCTATTTCCTCTGCCATCTGAGATTAACAAGTTCAAATTGACCTATACGAAAGAAATCAAAGGACTTCTTACTGCATTCTACCACAAAATCCAAAGACACTGGCAAAATACTCTCTATTAATTAGTTTATAAGAAAACTACACAGAGTTAATAAAAATGAAGATGCACTGCTTCTTCTGTCAGATTTACTAGTTCTACACCTCCAGCATGCTCTTCATGGACTTCTTCCTTTACAGATAAGCATATGTGTATATAGGTTTAAAAAACACTTTCACTAGGAATTGTGGAACCAACAGGTGTGTATATAATGCAAATTTCCAAGAACAGCAGGTGGGTGAGAGCTGTACAGCTGCCAGTGTCACATCATGCATTCAAACACCTGACTCACAAAGCTCACTTGAAAACTGCAACTTGCTCTGGAAGGAAAGGGTCTGACCTTGGGATTTTGCCTGTGCATGAAAAAGAGAATACAACGTACCTGTTACACCCAGTGGCAAACTGGGCACTTCATCCTCCTCCTCCTCCTCCTTCTCTCCAGAGTCCTGCTTATCTCCATCTTCTGCCTCTGCAGATTCATCTTCTTCAGTTTTTGCTTTTTTGGTTTCTATATCTGGAGTGTTATTTTTACAGAAAATAAGTCAGTTAGAAATACAAACGTCATGGTTATCATGAAAAGCTGTTCCACAGACTGAATTTCCTTTAGTCAGTAAGCCATATGCAAAGATCACAATTTTCCATGGAATGGAAGGGGGCTAGAGGAGAGACAAGGTTCTTGTGGAATTTTCTGAGGCACAAAGCAAAAGTTCCCCAAGTTCCTTGCACACAGCCCACTTTGCACAGTGGCTTCACGTATATTATATGACATCTTTTGTGAAAGCAAGATAAATTGTCATTAAACAGGCAACAAAACTCTTTCCCACTGGCAATGCAGACACCAAATTTCCCACACCATCTGCGCTCAGGGTATGTGAGAAGTTGCATTTTAGACACCTGAATCTTCAGTGATGAAAGCACCTTTTCATTAGCATAACCATGATGCATGTCCCAAAAATCAAATACATTTTGAAAGCTTATATTCTTCATGTATGTCTAGATATGTGCCTATAAATCTATGCATATCAGAACATATGCAAACCTAGCAATATTTGTGTGGTGCTTTTTTAGGTTTTTTGGTAGTTTTCCAGTATACTTCAGTTTCATAATATATAAACGTTGCCAAAGGCTGTTCATATTGCAGCCAAAGCTGTATTGGCTGCACACCCAAGTACAGACAGCACCCATTCTACCAGTGCCCTGAAACACAGAGTATATATTTGAATAATAAATAAGCAAAACATCCAGTCAACGTTACAAAGCACAGAAATAAAGTGGCTATTAATATGAATTAAGGATTCAAATATCGCAGCTGGAATGAAACGTGTAAATCTTTAGACCTCAGGGACTTTAAAGCACACATCTGACCAGCACATGGCATTTCAAACTTTCCCCGACGCGGCGGGAACCATAAGGAGGCGTTTGTGGGGTATCCCAGACTAACTGAGCCCTGGGAGACACGCTGTCTTTGCTAAGACCACGCACCATCTCCTCCATTGGCCACCGCTTTTCTCTTTTTCTTCTTCTTTTTCTTCTTTTCCCCGCTGCGGGGTCCGGCTCCGTCCGCAGGCTCCGCGCCCTCCTCGGCCGCTGCATCCTCCTCTGGCACCGCCGCCTCCTCCACCTCCACCTCCTCCTCCGGGGGTCCCTGAGAAGCCGCCTCGCTCGGCGAGGGCACTGCACGGCGGAGCCAGAGATAGAGGGAGGAGAGAGAGGGGAGAGAACACAAAGTTAGTCACGGCTCCGCCGGCGCTCAGCCCGGGAGAGGCTCCGCGGCGCCGAGCCCGGGAGAGGCTCCGCGGCGCCGCCCGCCCGTACCTGCCCCCTGCGCCGCCTGCAGCTTCAGGTTGCGCTGCCGCAGCTTCAGGTTGCGCTTGTGGATCTTCCTGCGGAGCAGCCGCATGGGCAGGTTGCTGGCAGCAGCCGGCACCGACATCGCGGCAGCGGCAGCGGGAACCCCGCGCTCCCGGCACACGTGGGGAGGCCGCGACCGGAGCCGCCGGAACCGCCGCCGCGGGGCCTCACGGGCACCAGGCAGCGCCCTCTGGGGGCCCGGCGGAGGCAGCGCCGCGCGGGGCCCGGCCCCCATCCCTGCCCCGGTCGCCGCTCCTGCTTCCGGCCTCGATTCCCGCCCCATTCCCGGCCCCCATGTCTGCTGCGTTCCCGGCTCCGCTCCCGGCCCCGCTCCCGGTCCCGCTCTCAGCCGCCGAGGGAGAACGCGCCCCGGGTTTCCCTGAGCAGGGGGCTCGCCGTGTCCCACACAGATCCCCCCAGCCTCACAACACCCATCTGCCCGGTGGTGCTGCCTCCACGCATGGTTACATGTGTTCAGCGGGAGAAAGAGAGTGAATTAAAGAATCAGGTTGAACAAGAACTCTGAGATCATCGAGTCCAACCAACGACCAAAATCACCCCGTGTCACCGAGCACCATGTCCAGGCTTTCCTTAAACATCTCCAGGGATGGCGACTCCACCACCTCCCTGGGCAGTTTATTCCAATGTTTAATCACAATTTGTGAAGAAATTCTTTCTAATGTCCAACCTAAGCCTCCCCTGGGGCAGCTTGAAGCCGTGTGCTCTTGTCCTGTAGCCTGGGAGCGCAGTTCACCCCCCGGGTGCCCCTCCTGTCAGGAACTGTGGAAGGCAGAAGGGCCCCCGAAATTCCTTTTTTCCAGGCCAGTAAACCTAGGCACATCCATATAAATCACTATAGACTAGGAAGAGAAAACCCATGTCTACTTAAAAATACATTCTGCAAATGCAACGTAAGGTACCCGGCTGCCTCAGCGCTGCTCATCAGCCCTTGCCCAGCCGCACTGCACCCAGTGCAGCCCCTCTGTGCCCTGGAACTGAGGGCACAGCACTCAGGTGTGGCATCACCAATGCCAAATCCAGGGAGAGTCACTTCCCTGCTCCTCCAAAGGGGATTCCCCGAGGCTGCTTCCTGACAGCAGAGGGCACAGACAGCACAGGGATGCGCTTTGCAACCTGAATCCAGAAACCAGCGCCTTCTGAGGGACCCGAGACTACCAACTACCCTTGATATCTTGCTGTAACACAGAATAAACTGCGGAACTAATTCTATATTGAATAACAAAGTAATTTTTCACCATCTGTAATTATTGGCTTCCATAGGTCGTTTGGATCACCAGGATGTGTATTTGTCTTACCAGAGCTTCAGACTGTGAATCATGCCATCCTGTCCAAACTGTCACAGACTGCCACTGCTTTAATAAATTGAATGGATTATTACTATTTCCATCAGCTGTATTTGAAACGAAACTCATCCATCCTCAGCAAGAAAGGCTTTTGGTACGCACTCCAAAGGAACTCAGTTTTACCTGCTTAATTTTAAGCAGGGGAAAGTTCCTTACTGCAGCTCAGTGTAATTTAGGTTCTGTGTCTGTTTTCTCCTTGGCTACCTTATATTGCATTCACAGAATGTATTTTTAAATAGACATAGGTTTGCTCTTCCTAGTCTATAGTGATTTATATGGATGTAACTAGGTTTACTATTTGGATCCAGATTTAACCTGGGCAGTGCTTCTTTCTGGAATATGGTCATTGTGCAGATAAAATGGATAAAGACCTGGACAGCACGGAGCTGACACTAATACACTGAGGGAGGACAAAGTTATGTCCTTTGGGCTTGGCGTGGACTTCATGTTCCCATTTAAACCAGTAGTGCCAGGATCATCAGTATTTTTGCTTTCACCCATGTTATCACACTCCCAGCTCTGCCAAGAATTAGGACCTGGTAAAGGTAATCCTGGTAAAGGATTCTGGTCAGGTAAAAGCCTTTATATAAAGAACTCACCTCAGTGTCCATGCTGGGCTCTGGCTGACTTGGCAAGTCTTTGTGAAATCGCATTAGTGTGGCACAAGGCCCATATTGATAAACTGTCCTGAACAGTTATGTCAGGTCACACTGACCTGCTCTGTTGGCTACAATCAGCATGGCACACAAGGAAAATTTTATAGACAAAAGATGGTCTTGCATCTGTGTACACAGATGTCTGGGCATTCTGTGTCAGAATTCAGGAAGTACAGATTTATTTTTAGGTGGCAGATTATCATGAGCTCCAAAATTGCTTTCTCTCAATATTTTGTAAAACATGTTACTTACATTACAAACAAATGTGCTTCTCTGGAAATTTCAAAATGTGTTTTCGAGCTTCCTTCTTTTAGCATCTATTTGTTTTTCTTCAAGCTGTTATTGTGGAAAGTCTCAAGAAAAAAAAAGAAGACTCAAGATAATAATGATAATATTATAGTGACAAGTCTAGACAGTAATTTAAACCACTAACTCATATTAATGGTTTTTCTCTGAATTTTGTCATTTCTTAGATAGCATATGAATCCCTTCTAGTACAAGTGTCATTTTTGTCCAATACATTCATTCCTAATTGCTTGAGTTATCAGGCAATCATTACTAACAATAGGATTTTCTCAAATGTTTATTGAATTGTTGTCAAAATGTCCCAAATTTTCTGCTCATGATCTTGCAGGAAGGTTTGTAGGGAAACATGTTTTGTGTGAGTAAAACCTCTATAGAGCTGAATAAGTCCATATGAGATAAAGGTGAATATTTTTAATGGGCTGCCAATGTCAGTATTTTATCTCCCAGAGTTATAGCCAAATTCAGAATATTTGTGCCTACTTACCGTAAACTAACTTACATTGATTAAAATGTAACACAGAAGTAGTTATTGATTTCAATTGTGTCATTTCAAGTAGAAGATATAATTTATACTAAAGGTACCAAAACCCCATCTAGAAAAGGTTGTGAAATGAAAGTGTGGAGTCATTTTTTAATACAGGATTTTGGGTACAGAGCTGAATTAAAGAAGACAAGTTTTATTTTCAGAAATCAGAATTTTTGAAGAAATGCTTTTTTGATGTGTTAGGTTGGACATGAAAAAAATCAACACTGATGTAATTTATGAACATCTGCACCATTCAGCTAAAAGTTCTGAACCAGAAAACTAAAGCTTTTATTGTTTGCAGCCACAAGCTGGAAAACTGCTCAGGGCTGTCTTTTAGTTTTTAGCAGATTATTATTTTCCATGCTATGCAAATGCAAATTTATCTGTCAGACAGTAATACAGAAGGACTTGGTTTAAAATCAGATTTTTTTTTTAATGTGTCTACCTTACCAGTAATGTGTACCTTACCAGTACATATGCAAGTGATGGATACAAAGGTGTCTGCAGAAATAATAAATTTTCTAATTTAGTGGAGATATATGATTCTGAAATGTGGACTTTGACAGAGAAAAGTAACCCAAACCTGAACTGATATAAATGTCAGAGATACAGATACATTCAGATACATCACATGGAGAATAGATGACTTGATTTATAGAACATGTCAATGTTAGTGTGAGTTCGAAATTGGTGGTACAAATCATGTCTTTACAGGGTATCACTGAATATCTCTGAACCTGTGAGGGAATTCAAAGTATGGCTTACAAGGAGAGTAAGGTATCCATGTTTGGAAAAAACAAGGCAGGCAATCACAATCGCATATTTTTAGGGGTTTGGTTAATGCTGCTGTCAGCTACTGTCTCCCTTGGGCCATGTGGCAGTCTGGTCTCAGTTAAAACTGACAGCAGCAGCCCTTGGTGGACATGGCAATAAAGCTGGATTCAAATCACATCAGTGAATTTTTTATTTCTCATTCAGCCCATATTTTACAGCTGGAACTGAAACCATTGCAAGTGTTCAAATGCATGATCTCCTCTTTGACGCATAGAGGACCAAAGTCCAAGAAATCCCACCTTGTGGGAAATGTTGGAATTCTTCCTTGCAGTAAGAGATTATTTTATGTTTATCACCCACACACTGCAAACAAAAAGTCTCCAGGAAAACAAGGTGCTATACACATTTTTATCCTCACAGAGGCAATGAGAGAACAAAAAATACATAATGCAAGAGCAGTGCACAGTTTGTAATGTACCACTGGCAGGCAGGAGGGTACCATGAGGATAACTGAAGTGCAAATATTATGCATGGCACACAGCTGAAGAGGTTAGATTCTATTTTATTTAATTGTATTTTCATTTAAAGTCTGTTTCTGATGTTTGCAATTTAAGCTTACAAAATATTTTTGGGGTCCTCAGAAGCTGCTTTTCTGAGTCAGATGAAATAATATTCAAACATTTTCTATTTTAGGAGGCTGTTTACAGGTTTGCTTCTCCTATTCTACAAACCCTAGCAGGTGTTGATAAATAGCTTGTTTTGCACATGACAATAAGCTACAGCCACTTTTATTAAGAGAGAATGTAAATTCACAATGTTCTTTTTTTACCAACAAAGATCCAATTTTTAACGTTTTCCTGTTTTTAGAAAACTTAGTGAAGGTCTCTCAAAATGCTGCAAAGACTAGAAGGATCAAGTGATTTATTAGCAGATTAATCAAACTGCAGGTCTAGCAACTAGTTTATAACTTACAGACTGACAGGTTCATAACCCTTAAAATAATAATTTTCTCAGGCATAAAAGGCATTCCTTTTACAGTGCCCTCATTAATTTAAAGAATCCTAGTAAGTATATTACTGTCTCCTATTCAGGAGTGTGTCTTTTATATTGCTTTATCATTTACAGATCTTCATTTAAAGTAGCTCTGTTCAAACTATATAAAGTCATGATTAAACTCAAAGAGAGTATGAAATCTGACACAGTAAGGGAAATATATGGGGTCAGCTAAAACTCTTAGCAGCTCTGTTGAAGATAAAATTGGAAGGGGAGGGATATTCTGGTGCATAGCAGCTGGATGGAGGCTGATTAGTGGCAGTTTGTGGCTGGAATGAACACAAGATGTCACCCTCGCTGTGAGAGAGCTCCAACACACCAATGCCTTTAGCTGAAGAGAAAGGAGAGCCAAGGATTGAGGATTTTTTCCTTTTTTTGAAGTGTCCATCACGTGTGTTCCTTCATTTACCTGTCCTGGAACACTGTTTCACTGCAAAATTTTTTCAGCCTTGCTGAGTATT